ATGCATGCGCATACTCTAAACAAAATGAATGTTTGGATAAAGTGTGTGTATGAGTGAATGTATGTGTGTGTGTATGCGTATGTGTGTAAACATAGAAATGCATGTATTACACACACACACACACCCCACAGCTGGCGTTAGAACCCTGGCCTCGTGCCTGGTAGGCAAGCACTCTACCAACTGAACAATATCTCTCAGTAAAATTTCAGAAACGAATCCAAACATACTGCTAAGAGTGGTATTTTAAATCCAAGAAAGCAGCCAACAAATACAGTGACACAAACCTAGCACTTAGGAAGGGAAGGCAGGAAGATTGTGGAATTGAGACGAGCCTGGGCTACACCATAAGATCCTGTCTCAAAAGAAGAAAAGAGAGGACAGAAGAACGGAAGAAGGAGGAAAGCCACTTGTACACAAACGGCAGGACAACGGCTGGAGCTTCAAATTCAGTTGATCTTTCTTGCATTCTAATCAAATATGTTCCAGGGAAACCGGTAAAAATGGTTCAGTAGGTTAGAGTCTGCCACTAAACCTGAGAACCTGATTTCAAATCCACACAGTAGGGAGACTCCAGCAAGTAACCCTCCATCTTCCACCCAAATACCTGTGGCACACATCACACACAAGCACACCCGCGCTCTCTCTCTCTCTCTCTCTCTCTCTCTCTCTCTCTCACACACACACACACACACACACACACACACACAATGCATTCTTCTAAAGTTCTAAGTAGTCCTGAGTGAAAACATACTCCTATAATCCCACAGGACGCTGAGGATAGAGTACTTTGAGTTTGAAGCCATCCTAAGTTTGGTCTTTCTCAATCTGTTTCTCTAATAAGTTTTAATTAAAAGTGTGAAACAATTAAAAGTCTAGGAATGATTTTATAAACTTGTAAAGACTTTTAAAACATAAAACTAAAAAAAATTGCCGGGCGGTGGTGGCGCACGCCTTTAATCCCAGCACTCGGGAGGCAGAGGCAGGCGGATCTCTGTGAGTTCGAGGCCAGCCTGGTCTACAAGAGCTAGTTCCAGGACAGGCTCCAAAACCACAGAGAAACCCTGTCTCGAAAAACCAAAAAAAAAAAAAAAAAATTAAAACATAAAACTAAGAGTTCCAAAGCCATAACTGATAAGAGGAGAGATTAAGTCCAGTACCATATTCTAATAACTGAAGTTGTATTTGGGGCTCTTATGCCTCAGTATATAAAAGGCGATACTCCAGTGAAAAATGAGGCAAATACAGTTAACAAGCAGTTCCCAGAAAAAGAAAAATAAATGTAATACTATTGAACACACAAACGAAATGCAAACTTAGAGAAGTAAGATTGCCACATGCAAGTGTTTGCCCGGTCTGCAAGGATTGAGAGAACATGTTCCTACAGGAACCCTTTAGCAAACATCTTTAGAAGTAGCTATTATATTCCCGGGGAAACAAATCACAACGGCCTACTAGCGTGTGGACAATCAAAAGAATATCTGCTCTTGGCCGGGCGGTGGTGGCGCACGCCTGTAATCCCAGCACTCGGGAGGCAGAGGCAGGCGGATCTCTGTGAGTTCGAGACCAGCCTGGTCTACAGAGCTAGTTCCAGGACAGGATCCAAAACCACAGAGAAACCTTGTCTAGAAAAAACCAAAAAAAAAAAAAAAAAAAAAAAAAAAAAAAAAAAAAGAATATCTGCTCTTGTGAAGCTTCCAGATCAGGATGCAGTAAGAAGCGACAGTCAAGTTTAACCTTGCGGTTTACTCAGTGTTAAGCAGCGTCCTTCCAGAAGTCCAGGCCCAGGTAAACAACCACATGTGGCCACTAAAGCTCCTAGAAGCGGCTGGACTGCAGGCAGTTCCCACGGGGCGCTTTGCATCACAACCCCTGGCTCTCCTCTCCTCCGTGCCAGGGGTGGACCAAGCAACTACAGCCTCGAAGGCCCTGCCCTGCCGCGGGGGAAACTTACACTCAGCCGCCCCGCGTCCCAAAACTGCTGTCCCGCTGAGTCGCTCCCTGCCCGTCCTGTTTCCTCCAAGTCCACCGGTCCAATGTGCACAAGGAGACACGGCTTCCGCGGCTGCGCTAGCGAGAACTCGGCGCAGGCGCAGAGCAGTCTCCCCGTGGGCTCCGGGCCGTCGGGGAAGAACCTGCTTAGCACGGGTTTACGCCACCTGTCGTCAAAGCCCGAGTCCCCCCGGGACGTTCCCGGGTGCTGGTTCCTGGCGTCTTAGCTTCACCTCAGCAACAGTTTTTACTTGTTTTGTTTCTTTTTGTTGTTGTTTCTTCTCCGAAGTTTGGAACCTTGGTCACTTGAGGGGAATCTCAGCAAAGGGCATAGCCAGAGTTTCCCTAGGGGCTGCCTTCCTAGCTCCTGGTTCAGAATGAACACAGGCTCAGGGATGCAAACCTGGGATCCCTGTGGCACCTTGGCCAGGGTCAGGTGTAGCTGTGGCCCCCTGGAGGCTGCACCACTCTCAGCTCTGCTTGTTTTGTTTCTTGACGGGGGGTTTAGGTAGCCCAGACTAGCCTTGAGCCACACTCCTTCCTAACTTAGCTGCGATTGCACAGATGCCACCACCTAGCCTGGCTTGTCTCTTATGAGTTGCCTTTACGGGATTGTTTTAATAAAAAACAACAGTTTTCCCCTCTTAAAATCTCAGGTGGCTATTTTGTGAGGATGGTAATGAACACATTTTATTTCTTTCTGTGTGTTTTCTGCAACTCTCGAACTTTGGTTATAAGAAGCAAACCATAACTTATATATATAGTGTCATGTTCTCACTTAGGCTGGCCTCGAACTCATGGCAATCCTACCTCAGCTTTTCACATACTGGGATAACAGGCATAAACAAACCATAACACACCCCTATTTTCACCGGCGAGAAATGTCAACATATACCATTTCCATATAGCTGTGGTTGGAAAAGACTTGAACTTTATTTCATTTACTCTGTGAATTTAGACATGCCTTTTTGTGTGTGGTTTATGAACACTTGTAATTTATTTCAAGGCATTCTGGAGGCTGGGAGGTCCAAGGTCATGCAAGGTCATGCTGAGTCACCGTCTGACAGGGGTCTATCTTCTGGTCATAGATGGTACATTCTCCTTGTCATAGGAAGAAGGGGAGAGGCAACTCTCTGGGACCTTCACTCCTGAGGACTGCCCCCCGATCTAACCACTCTTGAGAGACCCCCCACCTCTAAATACCACCACTGTGGCTTAGAATCTTAACATAAACCTTGGAGAAACACAAATATGTGAATTTTGGCAGGGCCCATCCGTAGTTATTTTCATTTTAGTCATTCATAAGTGTTATTGTTCTCACAGTTAAAATAAGGACATGAAAAATAATAAAACAAAACATAAAGCCCTCAGGTGCCGGAGTACAATGGGATATTAGTTACTTACTTCCTTGCTGGGACCAAGAATCTGACAAGGAACACTTTAGGGGGAGGAAGGGCTATTTTGGCCCATGGTTTGAGACAGAGTTCATCATTGCAGGGAAGACATGGCGTTAGGTGTTTCCATGGCAGCGAGAGCATATGGCAGCTGCTTCCTCACAGACATGCCTTTTGTGTGTGGCAAAAGTATCCACAATATACATCCTTTAAAACCATACACTGAGGCATTTGCGTTCAAGGTCAGCCTGGTCTACAAAGCAAGTTCCAGGACAGCCAGAGCTGTTACACAGAGATGCCCTGTCTCGAAAAGCAAAAACAACAAAAAACCCCTCATACATTGTTTTTTCTAACACATTGTAATTGTATAATAACCGCCATAAGTAAGCACAAATAAAATCTATCTCATGCATATAGTTCAGTCAGCAAAATGCAGGGTCCACAGGCGCACTCTGCACTGTATCTTCTCCTAGGGTTTCCCAGGAAACAGCAGAGTTGAATGAATGCAGCAAGTTGTTCTGTAAAGAGGTGTGTGTGTGTGTGGTGTCAGGGGTAGGGGGTCCGAGCGTATGCATTTTCCCCCTGCAGTGAGATGACTGCCATCAGTAAGGCTCCCAGATGGGAAAGCACCGTTCAGAGATGAAGTGCATCCCAAGGCGGTGCAAACACAAGGACTCACAAACCACTTAAATGTCCAGCTGGAGAAGCCTGGCCTCCCCAGAGCCTGCTGGTCAGTGAGACTAACCATATGGATGAATTCTGGCTTTGATTGAAAGACCCTAACTCCGTGAGTACAGTGGAAGAGATATGGAAGATGACTCCCAACCGCAAACACACCCACATGTGAACCCACACATGCAAACATACACACACACACGTACCACACATACACATGGAAAAAGGAAAAGGCATCACACGTGGAACACTACATCCGGCAGTCTACTTTCCCACTCTCCCAACACTTGCTAGCAAACTTCTTTATGTTTGTTCTATGAGATGAATGTGTCCTCTCGGCTCCCAAAACTGAGCATCTTTTTTTACATTCGTTGACTTTTTTTGTTTGTTAATGCTTACCTTTTGCCTTTTTTCTACTTTATCTTGACTTATACCAACTTTTATACTTTTTTTTTTTTTAGTTTTTCGAGACAGGGTTTCTCTGTAGCTTTGGAGCCTGTCCTGGAACTAGCTCTTGTAGACCAGGCTGGCCTCGAACTCACAGAGATCCGCCTGCCTCTGCCTCCCGAGTGCTGGGATTAAAGGCGTGCGCCACCACCGCCCGGCTTTTTATACTTTTATTTTTTAAGTGTAGTAAAGGAATGGCAAAATAACAGCCGTGTACTTGTGTAGCCCTGGCTGTCCTCGAACTCGTAGATCCGCCTAACCTCTGCTTCCCGAATGCTGGGATTTTATGCCTGCGCCACCACTGCCCGGCTTTAGTTGCGCTACTAGTTATGTTTACGACGCTGGACAAGTTGCTTAACTAAAGTCTCTGACCAGGGAGAGCTAACTGACCGCGGCCCACTCCTTCTCCACCCTTGCTTGACCTGGGGGAGGACCAGGAGCGGCGCCGACCTCCAACCCGGAAGGCCCCGCCCCTACCCCGCCTCTTCCGCCTCGCGCGCGTGCGCAGTCCCACGCGGTTGAGTTCTCCGGGGGTCCCAGCTTTTAGATCCCGGGCTGCTGCCGTGCGCCCCGCGCAGAGGCGTCCTCCTCTCGCCCACCATGCGTTGGGGGCTGTGCCCTCACGGGCCCGGGGCGGCGGCGCTGGCCGCTGCCGGCAGCTTCTGGAGGCCGGCCCGCTTTCCCGACCGCCTGGGGTATCGGAGGCTGGTGGTGCGGTCGGTGGCAGGGGCGGATAGCCCTCAGAGCAGCCCGAACAGCGGCAGATACCGCGACACGGTGCTGCTGCCGCAGACCGCCTTCCCCATGAAGCTGCTGGGCCGCCAGCTGCCCGACATGGAGCTGGAGATCCAGCAGGTACCAGGCGCGGCCACCCGGGCAGGGCGGGGTGCTGGGCCAGCTCTGCGGAACCCTCCGGGCTGCTGGGATTCCCACGCGGGCCCCCTAAGCAGACCCCAGTGCCAGGCAGCGCGCGTTCCGACTTTGGCACCAAGCGAGTCAGCTTTGCACATTCTCCAGTCATTTTTCAGAAAGTAACCAGCGTGTAAATAAAAATTCAGGTCTGGGCTGGAGAGATGGTTCAGCGCTTAAGAGCGCTTGCTGCTCTTGCTGAGGATCATAGTTCGGTTCCCAGCCCACAAGTCTGGCAGTTCACAACCACCTGTTGACTCCAGCTCCAGGAGAGCCAGTGCCTTTGACCTCTGCCGGCATCTGCGCTCAACATGCATGACACAGAAATAATTAAAAATAAACCTACGTCTTGAAAAAAATAATTCAAGTGTTAGCAAAGAAGGGAAGTTGAAGCCCACCTCAGTAACATGTTTAGGCCTTTCGCTGGAATTATGCCTCCTTTGCAGGACAAAATAGTAGTCATTCTCTGAGTCCCTTTTGTAGACTGTGTTATGTCATATATCATAGTGTGTGTATATACACACATACGTACACCTATGTATCTCCTATATATATGTGTATATATATCTCCAATATCATACTCAATTTTCTCATTGAGACTCAAATGTTAGTGTCTATAACATTACAGTCTTTAAGATATCCCTGTTAACCAGGAATACTACTTAAGTGGATAGAGTTTGCCTGAATATTCTTTGAATTTAGGGAAGTATTGAGGCCAAAGAATAGCAAGGATAAGTTACCAGTTTTATTTTGGGTGGTGGTAGTGGGGGATGGTGATGGACAGGTCTCAGGGCTGGATTGAGGCAATGGATGCTGAGAGACTTGCCAAGAATTTAGAGCCCTTCTGTCATCTAAAATCTGAAGGATTATTGGGGGCGGGAAGACTACTGAAAATGTTCAATACTGGTTCCCTCCAGAAATGTTTCCAGTTACATTTCTGAGTGGGTTGGAATGGATCAATATTATCTGAGGATCGATAAGACTCCATAGCATGGATTTATGTGATATGTAAACATATATTTTTTTAAAACAGAAGTGTGGATTTTCAGAGCTTTATTCCTGGCAAAGAGAAAGAAAAGTAAAGACGGAATTTTGTCTTCATGATGGACCTCCTTATGCAAATGGTGACCCTCATGTTGGGCATGCCTTAAACAAGGTAATTATAATTCAAGTTATAAAACTTGCCAGTAGGGGCTGGAGAGATGGCTCAGAGGCTAAGAGCACCGGCTGCTCTTCCAGAGGTCCTGAGTTCAATTCCCAGGAACCACATGGTGGCTCACCGCCATTATAATGAGTGCTCTCTTTCTCTGTCCTGCAGGCATACATGCAGACAGAGCACTGTATACATAATAAATAAATAAATATTTTTTAAAAAAGAACTTGAAAGTAACTATTCTGCAAAAGAGCGTATTCTACTTGTGTGATAGTTATGTAAAGTTGCATTGGCCTATGCAAATAACTGAATTACTAATAATGAATAAATGAATTATTAATGAGCTTGTTTATTTGTTGTGGTGCTGGAGATGAAACTCAGGGCCTTGTTTGTGCTAGGTAAGTACTCTACCAGGGAGTTGCATCCCGATGTATTTTGTGTGTTTCCTTTCAGCTTTTTGTTATATTACACTTAAATTTCTGACAGATGAACTATATTCATGCTGTATCTTGTCCACTGACACTGTTTCAACTATGTTCCTTTTTTTTTTTTGAGAAAAAAATCTCTCGAGTAGCATGAGCTGTCCTCAGACTCATGATCCTTCTCTGCCTCAGAATATTGCCATTACATATGTGCACCACTATGCCCAGTAGTCCACAGATTTGATAAGCTCATTGTACTTAAAATTATGCCTACTTGTATTTTAAAATATATTGACTTATTTGCGTGTGGGAGGGTAGATGTACCACAGTCTGTACATGGAAGACAGAACAGCTTGAGGGAATTCTTCCCTTCCACCATGGAGCCAGAAAGACAGGAGTCAGTGTCGTGTGGCTCAGGAGTACAGGACTGGTTCCAAGAATGCAAAACTGCCTCCTCCCTGCCTGCCTGGAGCTCTGTCAGCAGCATGGGGAATCATGGGGATTTGGTCTTGTTCCTCAGGGAGTGTGGGCTCGCCTCCTTTCCCCAGTCTCATGTGCATTTCCTCGGTGACAAAAATGACTTACATTCTCTGTTGTGAACTCTCAACTCGTACCAACTAAAGTACAACCGCCCAGCTCCAAAATTATTTTCTAGCCCTTTAACCTGACTTTTGCCTTCTAGTGAGTGGACATAAAGATATAATTTCATTTTCCACTGGAAAATGGGACTTGTCTTCTTTGTTTACTGCTGTCTCCTCGGTACCTGAAACAATTTTTGGCTCAGAGAAAGAATACTGAGATAGGAAAATGAAAGACGCGGTCCTAGGTACTTTTCTATTGCCGTGACAAAACGCCATGGCGAGAACAACTGTAAAAGAGAGTTTATTGGGGCTTCCAGTCTCAGAGGGTGAGTCCATGACCACATGACCATCATGCTGGGGAGTGTGGGACCTCTCTCTCTCTTCTCTCTCTCTCTCTCTCACACGCGCGCGCACACACACACACACACACACACACTCTCTCTCTTATCCGAACTGGGATTGAACTCCTGGGCTGTATGCATGCTAGAGAAGTACTCTAGTGCTGAGCCACCTGCTGCGTCCTTATTTTCTTGTTTTGAGACAAGGTCTCACACATTTGTGTAGGCTAGCCTTGTTGACACTCTAGCTCAGGCAGGCCATGAACTTGGGGTCCTCCTGCTTTAGCCTGTGGCCTTTGTAGAAGCTGTGATTGGTTACAGACCTGTGCTCTCTGGCCTGGCTGGTAGCACATTTTAAAGACCCTGCCTGCTCGTATTTAAGATGAGCTAAGAGGGGTGACTCAGACGCTGATGAGGCCTGCAGTTTAGTGAGGGCCTTTAGCACCAAGCAGTTGAATGTGATATCCCATCTACTGGGTGCAGTATCAGTTCTGCAGGAGTCTGTGCTTCTCAGCAAGTGTGAGCAACATGGATTGCATTGTCTGTGTTAATATTTCCACAAGCAAAATAAAAATTTCTAACTGACTTAATTATATTCTGGAGTTTAGAAGGTCAGAAGTATTTCTTTCTTTTTTTTTTTAATTTAATTTATTTATTTATTTATTTTGGTTTTTCGAGACAGGGTTTCTCTGTATTCTTAGAGCCTGTCCTGGAACTAGCCCTTGTAGACCAGGCTGGCCTCGAACTCAGAGAGATCCACCTGCCTCTACCTCCCAAGTGCTGGGATTAAAGGTTTGCGCCACCACCGCCTGGCCAGAAGTATTTCTTTAAACAGTAGAATGGGCTGACACCCTTCTCTCAACTTGACAGATAATGAAATTTGGTACATGATGGGTTTTCATGTGTAATTCTGTTGTTTGATTTTTCCCCTTGATATTATTAGTATTGTGGAATTCAAGTCTTTGTTATTTCTGTTTAAATATTGCACATCTATTAGTTATTTTATAGAAATGCTTTAAATCAGACTTTATGCTTTCAAATGGTATTTTTTTTAAAAGAATCTGATTATGAGCGGTATGTGTTCTGGATGGTGATTACACTTTCATCCCTGCAGATTTTGAAAGACATTGCCAACCGTTACCATATGATGAGAGGCTCCAAAGTGCATTTTGTGCCTGGCTGGGATTGCCATGGGTTGCCCATTGAGACAAAAGTGTTATCAGAGCTTGGTGTAAATGCTCAGACTCTTCCAGCCATGGAAATCAGAAAGAAAGGTAAACTCCATTTTCATTTTAAACTGATACTATGATTGCTCAGCCTCTTATAAAACCAGGGCTCTGCTTGTATGCTTGTAGCAGGTCTTTCTTGTCAGACTTTCTGTGGACTACCATCCAAATAATGATAGTGAGACATTATTTTTTTTTTTTTTTTTTTTTTTTTGGTTTTTCGAGACAGGGTTTCTCTGTGGTTTTGGAGCCTGTCCTGGAACTAGCTCTTGTAGACCAGGCTGGTCTTGAACTCACAGAGATCTGCCTGCCTCTGCCTCCCAAGTGCTGGGATTAAAGGCGTGTGCCACCACCGCCCGGCTGAGACTTCTTATTAATTATGAAAGCTTTGCCTTTAGCTTAGGCTTGTCCCCAAATACCTCTTATAACTTAAATTAACCTGTTTCTATTAATATACATTCTGCCACATGGCTCTTTACCTCTCCTCCATTCTGTATGTCTGACTTCTTCCATGTCTTCCTGGCAACTCCTGCACACCTAGATTCTAACCCTGAGTTCTCTCTGTCCCCAGAAGTCCCACCTATTCTCTCCTGTCTGGTTATTGGCCCTTCGGCTCTTCATTAAGCCAATCAGAAGGCTCCTTGGCACAGTATACAAAAAGTTTATCCACAGCATCTGCCAAAGGAACCTCGCTCTGTTTTGGTTGCAGTGAGACCTGTAGAGTGCTTACTGCTTCGCATCAGACACAGTGTGGGGTTTGTTTTATGGAGACAAGGACCTTTGTGTTTACCCCATTTACCTCACACTCTTAGTTCCATCCTTGGGCCTTTCTTTCTTTCTTTCTTTCTTTTTTTTTTTTGTAATTGACTTTGTAAGAATTTCTCTCTGGAAGTTGAAGGAACAATTTGGAGTGTGTTTTTTTTGCAACTGTGTTTTCAGTTTAGTGTTTGTTTTTTTTTTTTTTTTTTAAAGATTTATTTATTTATTATTATTATGTGTACAGTATTCTCAGTATTCTGTCTGCATGTATGCCTGCGGCCAGAAGAGGGCGCCAGATATCATTACAGATGGTTGTGAGCCACCATGTGGTTGCTGGGAATCGAACTCAGGACCTTTGGAAGAGCAGGCAGTGCTCTTAACCGCTGAGCCATCTCTCCAGCCCCTAGTGTTTGTTTTTTATCGAGTTGCTGTTTTTACTCTTGTTGGGTGGCACTTGTTGGTTAAAATTAGGAACAAAACAAAAGTCCTAAAATACATGGATTTAAAATTTTGGAGTTGTAGTGCAAGCCTGTAAACTCAGCATGCAAGGCTCTTAGGCAGTAGGATCGTGAATTTGAAGTCAGCATGGACTTAAAACGAAAACCAAACAAACACTCAGAACAACTACCAAGACCCCTTTGAGTTAAATTAGTCCCTTGTTTGATTCTTTCTTTCGGTAGGTATGGCCAGAGGAGCTTTCTTTTCCTTGTTTATCAGACTGCTGTATCAGCTATAAAGGTATCAGACATATGAAGGTTCTTTACTTCCTTCTGGAACACATTCACATGGCCTTAGAATTAATATTCTGAATAATTTTGGAAGTTGATTATGAATGAGTATTATTCTCTGGCCACTTCTTAAATTAAGACATAATGAGGAGGACTAGTGAGATGGCTCAGCAGGAAAAGGCACTTGCAAATGACTGACCCCTGTGTTTGGTCCCCAGATCCCATGGTGAAAACCCAACCAGAAAGTGGCCTATGCCCATGCATGCACGTGCACACACACACATACAGTATAATACTACTACTATTTGTAGACAGAAGTTTCTGTTCCACCCAGTCCCACAGCCATTCAGTCTCAAAGAATCACACAAAGGCTTATATTAATTATAAACTGTTTGGCCTGTTAGCTCAGGCTCATTATTAACTAACTCTTACAATTTAAATTAACCCATAATTCTTAACTTTATTTGGCCACGTGACTTGGTACCTTTTATCAGTGAGGTATTCTCATCTTGCTTCCTCTGTGTCTGGCTGGTGACTGCAGATTGAGCCTTTCTTCTTCCCAGAATTCTCCTAGTCTGGTTGCCCTGCCTATACTTCCTGTGTGGCTACTGGCCAATCAGCATTTTATTAAACCAATATAAGGGACAAATCTTTATGGAGTACAAAAGCATCCCACAGCAACTATTAGTATATATTATAAGGAATAATGTGTAATATTTTTCCAGTTTTTATTTATTTATTTGGTTGGTTGGTTTTTGAGACAGGGTTTCTCTGTGTGACAACCCTGGCTGTCCTGGAACTCAATTTGTAGACTGGGCTGACCTCAAACTCACAGAGATCCACCTGCCTCTATCTCCAGAGTGCTGAAATTAAAGGCATGAGCTACCACTGCCCAGCAAAATTTGAGTTAATTAAACAAAGAATTGTCCTATGTTTAAATGCTTTCAAATAATCTTTCTGCTAAGAATTTTCCGAGGACTGGGTATGTAGCTCAGTAGGAAGAGTGCGTGTCTGCCATGCATGAGGCCCTATGATCGATGACCAGCACTGCAGGTACTGGAAGTGATAGCATATTCCTGTCCTCCCGGCTTTAGAGCATCAGAAATTGCTGCAGAGTGAGTTGGAGGCCAGCCTGGGTAAACAAGAGTTCTTCTGTTTAACCATGCATAAAACCTTCTTTGAGAGAAGCATGTAATAAACCATGTTTAAGAATATAAAAAGTCAGCCTGGTGACTATATCATAATCCTATCACTTAGTTTGAGGCAGGGGGATTGCTGTGAGTTTGAGGTCACTCTGGGCTAAATAGTGAGTGTAGGCCAGACTGGGTTTCTCACAGGCTTTCTCTTTCTCCTGCCTTGTCTTTTCTAGCTAGATCATTTGCTAAAGCCGCAATTGAAAAGCAGAAATCGGCGTTTGCTCGTTGGGGGGTGATGGCAGATTGGAATAACTGCTACTATACATTTGATGGAAAATATGAAGCCAAGCAGCTGAGAACATTTTACCAAATGTATGATAAGGTAACCAAGTAATTTTTTCCTTCCCAGTGTACTAAAGTATGTGTCACCACAGTTTCAGCCTCAGTATCGTCTAGTTAGTGTCCTTGCTGTGAGGAAACTCGGTGAGCAGAGACACCTTGAGGAGGAAAGGGTTTATTTGGCTTACTTGTCTCTGCCACAGTCCATTGAGGGAATCTAAGGCAGGAACCTGGTGGCAGGAACTGAAGCAGAGGCCATGGGGGAGTGCTGCTTACTGTCTGGTTCCCTGAGGCTTGCTCTGCTTTTTTATTATACACCCTAGGACTGCCTGCTCTGGAGTGGTGCTCTCCACAGTGGACTGGGCCCCTCTGCATCAACTGTTAATCAAGAAAGTGCTTTATAGACTTACCTACAGGCTACTCTGGAGGAGGCATTTTCTCAGTTAATGTTCCCTTTTTCCAGATTTGTGTCAAGTTGACAGAAACCAACCCGCAAAAATATCTGATCTTTGTCTTTTCTAGGGCTTGGTTTATCGCTCTTACAAGCCAGTATTTTGGTCTCCCTCATCAAGGTATGTATGTATTCTTCGGTAATTTAAAGGCTGGAACCACATGTGAAACTTACGCATGTTTATGTATGATCCTTTAAAATCTTAGGACTGCGCTGGCTGAAGCAGAACTTGAGTACAATCCTGAGCATGTTAGCCGGTCGATATATGTAAGATTCCCTCTCTTGAAACCTCCTCCTAAGTTGGCATCTCTTACAGGTAGGTTTACCCAGAGCTCAAGTTTGTTAATGCTATGGAATTATTATGGCTGCTAACATATTTACAACTTGACTCCCACAGATGGCTCGTCCCCCGTTAGCTTTGTAATCTGGACCACCCAACCGTGGACAATTCCTGCCAATCAGGCTGTTTGCTATATGTCAGAAGCAAAGTAGGTAGTTGGTTATATCTTTTTATTTTACCCACAAATAAGATTCATATAAAATTTGTTTCACTCTCATGACCCCTTTAAAATCCAGTGCATTATCATTTAGTTCCTACACTCAAGAATAGATAATGCATTTGAGGACCTTTCACTTGTGGGAAAGTGAAGCAAACGTGAAGTCTGGAGTGTCTCGTGAACTGCTCTCCAACCTTGAAGCCTGCTTCTCTAACGTGATCTCATTTAATGGTAGCTGTCTTTCTTCATGGCTGATATCCTCTAACTTCATCTTCAGGTATGCTCTTGTCAAGTGTTCCACATCTGGGGACGTCTACATATTGGCTGAAGATAAAATATCACCTGTTGCTTCTACCTTGGAAACAACATTTGAAGTTATTTCAACATTTTCAGGTGAGGATTTATAGATGTCCAACTGTCAGTCATTAAAATTTTAGGTTGGTTGGCATTTCTTAGTTCCTTGGATATTCCCCACTGTGAATTGAAGCAGATATGCCATCTTTGTTTCTAGGGGAAGACATGAAGAGGTATATGTAGTTTGTATATTTGAGACACAGTCCCTCTGTCTCTTGAGTACTGTCAAAGACAGTACTTCTATCAGAAGAATTTTTTATGGGTAATAATTTGAGACTTCGATGCAGTGACTGATTTATATTACTGTGAGGGTCTGGGGTATTTAAAATAAATTGTGATCCTTAGAGATGATAATACCTTTTGAGTTTCTTGCTAAAATATAATCTTATAGTAAACATAATTTTAAAAATGGAATGATCACTTAGCTAAAGAATAAAACCCTCTTAAGTTCATCATTTAGGTGTAAGATAATTAGAAGGATGAACACACAACCTATCAGAATGCAAAGGGAGGTGTAAGAGGCAGGCAGGGGCTGGGGTTTTTAAGATATCTGGTCCTTGATGGTGTACTAGGTGAGCTAGAGGACCCAGTCTGTTCCCTTTTCTTGAGGGATTGCTCAGTAAGCCTGGAGCATGTTGTGTAAGCCTGGAGCTTGCTCTGGAAGCCTGGTGTGTGTTCTGGAAGCCTGGAGCATGTTCTGGAAGCCTGGAGCATGTTCTGGAAGCGTGTTCTGGAAGCCTGGAGTTTGGTCTGGAAGCCTGGAAGCGTGTTCTGGAAGCCTGGAGCTTGCTCTGGAAGCCTGGAGTTTGCTCTGGAAGCGCATTACCACTGGGTTATGGCCCAGCTCCTTTTTGCTTTCATTCTGAGACAGGGCCTCCTTAAGTTTTCTTGGACTCCGTTTGATTATGTGTTTGCTGTAGAAGAGAACAACAGATAAACTGGTAGAATTTGTATTTATTGTGAGGCAGTATGTGTAGCTGCTTATTCCAACAGTGGTGCTCTAAGCGGATGCTGTAATCATGTGCATTCTATAGATTTCTGGACATCATACTTCAGAGGGAGGCCAGTTTTGAGTGCATCCAGTCTTGTGCTCTGTTTCATCCTGTTAGAGACCTAAGTAGCTTAGAGGCAGAGCACTGGCCTAACATATTTCATTCCCAGAACAAGGAAATAAAGATGCTAGCTGAGTCTAGCGGTGCACATCTATTATCTTAGCAACTGAGAGGTGGAAGCAAGAGGATTAGGTATTTAAGGTCATTCCCAGCTACATGGTGAATCTGAGATCAGCCTGGGCTCTGATATCCTGCCTGACAGGGAAAAAAAAGATTTGATGAGGCTTGATCCCAGGACATCGTACACGGAAAGAATGCTCTGCCATGCAGCTGTAGCCTAGCGCTGCATGTAAAACTCTTCTTTGTGCTTTTCTTGACCTGCAGGTGTAGATCTGGAAGGTGGTACTTGTAGTCACCCTTTAATTCCCGATAAAGAGTCTCCTCTTTTACCTGCTACTCATGTGACTATGGCCAAAGGAACAGGATTGGTTCACACTGCCCCAGCTCACGGTATGGAAGATTACAGCGTAGCGTCTCAGCACAACCTCCCTATGGTACTGTTTCTCTTTTTAATTATTCACCTTGCAAAATGAAAATGATTACTCCTAACATCTTTGTTTCTTGGTGATAACAGTTGTTGTCATCAAAGCTAAGTTGTGAAATGATTACATTTGTGCAACATCCTGAAACATTATTAATCCATACTAATTGAGAAAGTTTCCAGAATTATCACAGAATCAGAACAGAATTAGACCTGAAGACATGCATTATTACACAAGCCACTTTTAAAATATACGCCGACCATCCTTAATTGTGCATCACTTTATTGTTCTTCAGGGATGTGCAGTTTTTACTAATTGAGAGTTTGGGGCAAACCTGTGTTAATCAAGTCCAGCACACTTTTTAAAAACTTAGTCTTATTTATTTTACGTGTGTAGTTTTGTTTTTTTGTTTTGTTTTGTTTTTGCCTGCATGTATGTCTGTGTGCTGTGTGTATGTCTTGTACCCACGGAGGCCAGAAGAGGGCACTGGATCCCCTGGAAGTGGAGTTATAGATGTGAGCCACCAGATGGTCCAGCACATTTCCAACAGCTCAGATGATCCTTAACAGTTTTTAGTCAAATAGTATTTTGTAATTGAGGTAGGTACATTTTTCAAAACACACTGCCTGTGCACATTTAGCCACCTATAGTGTAGCCTAGGTCTGGTTCTTATTTGTACTCGGAAGCTGAATAGTTGATGCATTGGCTCTGCTTGCCTGTTGCTTTCCTGCAGTTCACATTTTTCCCACAATTGTCTTGAACCAAACCAGTTCAGTGCTGAGTCACATCGACACATTGTTCCCACGCCCTGAACAATGGCAAGTAGATTTCATTAAGCACTTGGAGGGAATGGCTACGCTTTGCCCTTTCTAAACTCCTATGCTTATTTTACACACTTTAGTTAGCAACTTTTCCATTTAGTTAAGAAGGGTGCAGACGAAGAACGATTCTTGGCCAGTGACCTGTAAATGAGAGAGCGGTTAAAAGTGTTTTAGCATACTTGTGTTTAGCAATACATTTGGTCGTTTAAATATATAAAATTCAGGAATCTCTATTGACTGAGGAAGAAATACTCAGGTTTTTAAGTAGAGAAAAGGTGGACTCTGTATTGAGGTGCTTTGACTATTGTTTTACCATGGATCGGCATAAGGTGAAGTGTCTTGGTGCATTAACTCTGTCAAGTGGTTTGTTGCAGGACTGTTTAGTGGATGAAAGTGGAGTGTTCACTGATGCTGCAGGCCCTGAACTCGAGAACAAGGCTGTACTTGAAGAGGGAACAGATGCGGGTAGGTGTCATCTGCTGGTAGCCCAGGATGTTTCTGTTAGGGACCAACAGCAGGACCCCTGCCCTGTTCAGTCAGTGCCCACGCTTCTCGTCATAACGAACCTTTTGGTTAGCCATATGGTTGAAAAGGAACCATAGGACCTACTGTCTTCTGTTTCAGTTATGTTCTAGTTTCTGCAGATATAGCCAGTCACTGAAGTCATGGTTTTTGTTGGGGAGGTATTACAGAGATCATCGGCATATTGCTTCTATGAAGGGATAGAAATCAAGGTTGGGGTGGGTGTTGCTTGTGAGTTAGACCTTCCCTGCTCTTTCCGGAAGCCTCTTCACAAACAGCTGATCAGCTGGAGGCCTTCTGTCCTTAGGGATTTAGGAGGGAGCAGTTTGATTCAATGTCTCTGTCTCTTCCATACTGGGACAGGCCCCTTTCTTTGGTGTCTCCTTCCCTTCCACACCGGGGAAGAGCCACTTTCATTGGCGTCTCTATCCAGGTCCAGTTCCTCCCAAAAGCCTCAGGGTCTGTGAACTTTTTCGGAATACTTTTAAGTTCTGTCTAATGGGAACTTTTTTTAAGTTATAAAGATGCTTCAGACTGCAAAGAATTTGTTGAAAGAAGAGAAAGTGGTGCACAGCTATCCCTGTGACTGGAGAACTAAGAAGCCCGTGGTGATTCGGGCCAGCAAGCAGTGGTTTATAAACATTACAGATATCAAGGCTACAGCCAAGGTAGGAAAGGCCTCTTGCTACAAGGGTTGGGCTGATTATTCCCACAGTAAAAAGGTAGGTGAGGTGTGTGTTGGGTTGGGATGGGGGCTGCATAAGAGGATTTATGATTTATTGATTGTGACTTATGGCTTGTTTTCCTAAAATTATATACTTTTAGTCATGAAAAGATCCCATACCTGATTCTTTTGTTCTACATGTGTAAAAATAAGGTTTAAAGAGCGTAAGTGACTCATCTGGTCACTTTGTGTCTCGTGTCCTAAGAGTTGCGTCACCTCCTAGGACCTCAGTTTGATGACTCTTCATCCGGTTCAGGCAGTAACGCCTGCCGAAGCGAGCCAGTCGGTTTCCGTGGCCAATGTCTGCCACTCTCCCTCATGATACATATTTTGTGAAATTTTTTTTTTTTTTTTTTTTTTTTTTTAATATTTATTTATTTATTATGTATACAATATTCTGTCTACATGTCTGCCTGCAGGCCACAAGAGGGCACCAGACCCCACTACAGATGATTGTGAGTCATCATGTGGTTGCTGGGAATTGAACTCAGGACCTTTGGAAGAGCAGGCAAAGCTCTTAACCTCTGAGCCATCTCTCCAGCCCATATTTTGTGAAATTTTTGTGTCCTTTGTTGCTTTGAAATTAAGACTGCTATAAAGAAGGAAACAAAACAAAATTTCAGTTCATTTAAAAATTTCTTGTGGGGTAGAGGGATGGCTCAGTGATTTAAAGCACTCGCTGCCCTTGTAGAGAGCCTGGGTATGGTTCCCAGCACCCGCTTCAGTCTTCTCACAGCTGCCCGTAACCCTAAGGCATATGCACTAATGCACACACGCACTCAATTTTTCTTAAATGTTGCTGTAAATTAACTACTTTTATAATTGGTGTTGCAAATATCTAGCAGGTTTTCAAGCTCTTTGATTTAATTCACTTGTCTGTGTTTTCACATGCATCCATGCGTGTTTATTAGCCAGGGTGAATGCACAGGTACTGTGCCTGGCAGCTGGCAGCTGAAGTATCTGATGGAACTGGCCAGTCCATCCATCGGCTTGGTAGTTAGGGTCCTCGGCAGAGCTGCCGCAGATGTTTATACTTCCTCTCCTTGTGTAAAGTGGGCATGTGACATGTAGTGCTTTTATTTTTCATTCCCATAAAGGATAAGTCGATTTTTTGTTGTTGTTATTTGCTTATTTGCATGATTTTTTGGGGGGGACCTTATTATGTACTTCTTGCTGGCAGGAACTCACTATGTAGGCCAGGCTAGCCTTGAAATTGTGGCAGGCATCCTGTCTTAGCTTTCTAAGTATGGGGATTCTAGCCATATGTTTATCCATATGTCCATCTGCCTGCTCCTGACAGTGGTAAAATCTGTTTTTGTGGCCACACTTTGAAGTCTTTGCTTTTCTGTTTTTGGCCTGTGGTGGGAGTGGGAGGGATGTGAATGACTACACACATTCAGAATGAAGAACCATATTAGGAAAAGTCAGGAGAGTTCTGCTTCTCCCACTTGACCTGACAATGAATGAATTGCAGGAGTTGTTAAAAGCAGTGAAGTTTATTCCCGGAGCGGCGTTGAATAGCATGATTGACATGCTGGACAAGCGGCCATACTGGTGTATATCACGGCAACGATCTTGGGGGGTTCCAATCCCTGTGTTTCATCATAAGACAAAAGATGAATATTTGATCAACAGGTAATTCTTTTTTGTTGTTTATTGCTTAAAGTGAGTTAACATTTTCTTGAACAAGTAGTGTGGACCATTAGAATTCCTTGTTAGTTAGCCAGACAGTGGTGGCGCATGCCTTTAATCCCAGCACTTGGGAGGCAGAGGCAGGTGGATTTCTATGAGTTCGAGGCCAGCCTGGTCTAAAGAGCTAGTTCTGGGACAGGTACCAAAGCTACACAGAAAAACCCTGTCTCAAAAAAGAAAACTAAGAATTTCTTGTTAGTGTTCATACGTCACTGGTTCTGAGATGGCTTTCTGTAGGCTTCCCTTAAACGCCCAGGTCCAAGTAAGTGTGCTTCTTTGGCCTTCTAAACAGCTGGATTACAGGTATGAGCCACCAGCTTCATTTTATCTCTTTCTGTCTCGCCAGATGCAGTCTCGAACTCAGCCATTGTCCTGCCTCACCCTCCCTGTGCTGGGACTGTAGCATGTTCCAGCTCTCCTGGAAGGTTGTAGCATTGCTGGACCGAGGGATCCTGTAGTCAGGAAGACTGGGATGGGGTTATAAATTAAGGCCAGGAGTGGAAAGTCTACAGAAAGAGAGAGAGAACTAGGCGGTCAGTAGGCTACTGTAGTCCCTATTTTAATGAACTGATGAAGTAATTATTATGCTGTCCTAGCTCTCAGCAATTGATTGTTGCTGCTCTCTTGTGCGCCCTCCCCCGGGCCCCATGTGTGTGAGTGTGTGTGCTGGGATTCGGTCTGCGCCTCCATGCCCAACTACTTGTTGCTGTTTTAACAGAGGTGGAAAGAGGAATGCTAATCATTTCTATTAGGAATTTATTTTAGGTTTTTATTTTCTTAGAATACTTTGGCTTAATTTTAATTTGGTTAGTGAGATTTTACTAAATTATGCTGTAGCATCAGTGACATTGGCTAAGTGTTTCATTAGTTGGGGATCTAGTGAGGAGTTTGAGGGACAGAGGTAACAGTGATGGGGTGTTTGAGAGACTATAGGCACAGGCTGGGCAGCCCTTCCCTGGGGTTCTGCTTTTCATGGGTACTATGATTGTATGTCCTTAACACTACCTTACTGAATGCACCTATTTTAGAAGTTTGAAAATATGGTTGTTTAAGTTGCTTTTTAAAAAGTCATATATGATCATATAAGGGGTAGGCTTGTTGCTATTTCTAATAATTTTGTAGTGGAAATTTTTGTATCAAGGTCCTGCATGGGCTCTATAGCTGAGCTAAACTCTAAGCCCTGGCAGTTTGCTTTTCCTTTTTATGATAGTGTAGCTATCTTTGTGTGCATGTTCTTTTTCACTTTGATCCCATACCCTGTGGAACTTGGTTCAAAGAGAACAAGAGCTGTCTTGGACACTGTAGGAGTATTTGCTCACCAACCATTCACAGCGGAGGTGGCACTTCAGCCGACAGTGGGAAGAGTGTTCTGCAGGCATCCAGGGAGGCAGCCCACAGGACACGGGTACCGAAACCACACCTGCTCCAGGGTTGGGAGAGGGCTAAGACGGCAGTCCCTCTCTAAGGACTGGCTGGGACAGACTGTAAGGAGTCTTGAAGAACATATTAAGGAAATGCCTAAGTGGGCAGAAGTATTTCAGGATAAGCAACTAAAGGCTAGATTGCAAGACTGATTATTGTTTAAAGGTTAGAGTTAACTTGACTCTGCTCAAGTATTGTTGCTGTGTGGTTCTTGTAGAACTTAGAGTTTGGTCAGTTCTATTCCACTGTCTTAATACATCTGTTGAGAATGAAAGTGATCATAGTTGAGATAAATTCACACAAGTAAACTTAAAAACCACCATTGTTTCTCAGTCTTTTGTTAGTAGAATGCAAGATTTAGGGCATTGCTGTGGCGTGATTAAGATGGATTGAATATATATTATTAAATTGAAAAAGTAGAACAAGTTTTGCTTGTTTTGGGTGAAAGGGACTGGTTGAACCTGGGCCCTCTCAGATGTTAAACATACACTCTACCATTGAGCTGTGTCCCCAGACTTCAGTAAACTGGTGGAGCTGACTATTGTTTTCAGAGTAAAACTGTAGCTATATTGAACAGTAAGTTTAAATGAAATAGACACACAGACACGTCCACACTGGCATTGTCTCCATTTTATTTTGTCAGCAGCATTTTCCTACTATGTTACAGACTCTCCCGTGATCTGAAGGTGTCAGTTGATTGTTGGTTTGTAAGTAGTGGAGACATACAGAATATTGGCCTACAGAATGACAGACATACTCAGCCATACTGTCTGTCAATTCATAGGTCATTTTCCTGTACACCAGTTCACGATGAGAACTTTCACTGTCTTCCATGGCGGGATCCTTCTGGTGACATAGCACTTGAATTTTAAAACATTTATATTCTTGTAATTTGTTAAAAAATAGAAGGAAGGCTATCATTTTTTTTTAATCAAATAAATTCAAGTACCCAGAAATTTCTATCCTCCTTTTCCCACATTTGTCGCGAGCTGGTAGCCATCAAAAGTAACAGCATCTCCACTGGAAATCTGTACACAGTCCACATGGAGTTGCTGTTACATGTGATAACTCCATCATGTTTGTCGGAGGATTCCTTTTGTTTTAAAACATGTAGTTAGTGTGTATGGTTTTGAGGACTGAACCTGGAGTTTGGTGTATGCCAGGCAAGCATTCTACAGTAGACTGTGGAGCTGCACCCCAAGTCCTCTGCCTCTTCCTGATGGGAAACAAAATCGAGCCTCACCTTGTAGTCCTGCTTCAGCTTCCTGAGAACTGGGACTCGGGGTGAGTGGTGCCACGCCTGGATCTCCTGCGCCTTTGACAAGCATCTTCACGTTACCTCTAAACATGCTTGTTTTGCAAAAGAAAACCTAGGTTTATTCATGTTCTAAATAAGCTTAAAGACTGGCGGGCTTCAGACTCTGAACTTGAAAGCTGACATGTTGATTTCATTTATAGTTTTTATTTGCTTCTTTTTCTCAAGAGTAGTTCTGCTTTTGATATTTCAAAAGTAGAAAAGTTGTGGAAATCTATTCCCCAGTTAATAAAAACAAGTAGTTTTTACCCTGAAATGGATAAAATTTAGAAACATTGACAACCTAGAGAAGACAAGAAGCTGTTGGTGCAGTTTCTTCCCTTATTTCAGGTGTGTGTTGTCGCCCAACACTGTTGACTTAGGCAACTTGGAGCCGACTTCTGGAAACCTGTAGACTTTGTGTTTGTTAAGTAGAAAGCATCCTAAATCACCTCCGGCTGCCTCTGCGGCTGAGGGCAGCACTGAATGGAACACAGGCTCTTCCTTCTGCAGCCCCATCTGCTCTCAGTCACGCTTAGTAAACAGGCGGGAACGCTCAGCCTCTTACCTCCTCTTCAGGAGCTCCCAGGGGTCTTGTCCTGCTTGTCCTTTTCTTAAAGAGAGAGCACAAGAGTGAGATGGCAGCAGTGGCTCCTCTTACCTGGAAACCCTCGGTGCTGCCTCCTGCCTTGGCTAAATATGTCCCAGGCCACTGAGAGCAGAGCTCATTGATTGGCTGCTCTGGGAGCTACTCGCACTGCCTGGGTTTTCCTTGGTGGAAAACTGAAGCAGGAACATGAAATGTGTCAGATAAGGCCTTTGAGTCAAGTACAAAGTTTTATTATGGTCTGACTTATTGCTCTGTGAAATACAGCATTAAAATGAAAAATAGATTACATGGTGATAAGTGGCTTCACCCACTTTTATCAACAGTAATTTATACTGCTCTTTAGGTCATAAGTGAACTGTGTGTTCAAGTATAGTAAAATAAAGAGAATTCTTGAATTTGCAAGAACAAATTTAGATCCCACCCTAAAGAACATAATAATATTACAGGGAAATTCTTAAGAAATTCTTTTAAAATATTTGAAAGCATGATCTCATTTTAAGTCATCATGCTCTCATTAGTTGTTATAAAAAATTCTACTTCTAAATATTTATTAAAGAGGACTAATGAATTCTGTACAAAGATATGCATGTAAGATGTCCAGCTTAGCTGTTCATCAATAAATGTAATGACATACCAAAGAAGACAGGGCTGGGTTATAGCTCAGTGTTAAAGCCCTTGCCTAGAACTCATGAGGCCAAAGGGTTCAAATCCCAGCATCACACACATGCACACAGATGAAATTTAAGTTGCTAATGGAGGAGTGGTGATCACAAAGACATTTAAGGTGGTGGCATTGCTCTTAGTGGTTGCCCAGGTCCCACTTAATGCAGATCCAGTGACCAGACCTGTCCAGTATGTGGCTGCTTCTAGGTAGGGTAGGGTTTTTGGTGGGAAGTAAATACTCTACTGCTGAACTGTATTCCCATGCCTGGGTTTCCTGAGACATGGACTGTGTAACTCAGCTCTGCACAGGCTTGGGGACCCTCCAGTTTACTGCCTGAGTGTTGAGTTGCTGGTCCGTGAAAAGTGTGGATGGCAAGAGGAAGCTTCTGTTTGAGACAGCAGTGCTGTGCACTCGAACTTTGATGTGTTCAGTTGGAAGGCTTTTGTTAATGTACTTTTTAAAAATTAAATTTGTTCTAAAATTCACTAACTTTTTTTTCTTTTTTCTTTTTTTGGATTTTTCGAGACAGGGTTTCTTCGTAGCTTTTTGGTTCCTGTCCTGGATCTAGCTCTTGTAGACCAGGCTGGCCTCGAACTCACAGAGATCCGCCTGCCTCTGCCTCCCAAGTGCTGGGATTAAAGGCATGCGCCACCACCGCCCGGCTTCAATTAACTTTTTAACTGACAAAATTATATACAATTGGTACTTACAACTTGATTTCTCAAAAAACATATGTATATTGTATTCATATATATATATGTATATTGTGTTAATATATACATGTTTGGTTTCCATTATTCTCTAATTCTAGAGTTGATTTTTTTCGTTTTAAAAATATAAGTTATTTGTCCAGAATCTCAGAACAGACCTGAATATAGAGCAGGAGGCTTAGCAAGGGGCAGTGAGTACTCTTCAGCATGTGGTGTGAAGTGGGGGCACACCTGCTCCAGAGAAACCCGCCTTCTTAGCCGTCACCTTGTGTGAAGTGGGAGCACTCCTGCTCCAGGGAAACCCGCCTTCTTAGCCGTCACCTTGTGTGAAGTGGGAGCACTCCTGCTCCAGGGAAGCCCGCCTTCTCAGCCGTCACCTTGTGTGAAGTGGGAGCACTCCTGCTCCAGGGAAGCCCGCCTTCTCAGCCGTCACCTTGTGTGAAGTGGGAGCACTCCTGCTCCAGGGAAACCCGCCTTCTCAGCCGTCACAGTGTGTGAAGTGGGGGCACACCCACTCAGGGAAGCCCACCATCTCAGCCATCACAGCGCCTCTTGGGTGCATTGAGAACAGTTCTCTTTGCTTCAGGTTCCTAAGAACCTTGGATAAAGAACAAAACTGGACTGTTTTCTTAGTATTCTATAGATTAATTTGGCAATTTTGGGAGAAGTGTGTCTGTGTGTATGTGTCTCTGCGTGCATGCATGTATGTATTTGTGGTCCCAGGCCATGCTCATGCTAGGTCAGTGTTCTCTTAACTGATCTACACACCTACCTTGACTGTGTTGTTTGCTACTCCCTGGTCAGCCCTGGGAACTCATGTTGACCTTGAACTCGACCATCCTGTTGGTCCTCCAGAGGTGCTGAGGTGACAGGTGCCCACCACTGGACCCTCTGGAGGCTAGAGTTTTACAAAGCACTGAATATTGTTTCTCATTGATCGAGATTACATTTGCAGTTGTGCTATTTGTGAAAATATTACAGAAGTAAAAGGAGACTAACTCAGCAAGCACCCTCATTATGTGTAAAATGCATGAGTGCTTAGCATTTAAGTAACTGAGGCAGGAGAATTGTGAGACCAGCCTGATCTATATGGTGACACTGCAAAAAAGACAGGAGGTGGGGTGCACTGGAAAAACTGAATAAGCAAGATTGTATTTCTTCTGTTGAAACATGGTGACATATGTAAGTGAATTACTAATATTTTTATAAGAAAATGTTGCAGTTAAAGGAACATTAGGTGCCTAAGGTATTTGAAGTTAGGGTTTTATAGTTGACTTATAAAGATACAGATAGCAAATTTAACATTCTCCTTTGATTTATAGACTCAGCAAAGAACTTTAGTGTAGCGAAATAAACACCTAAACTATAATTTTGAAGCATTATTGAGTTTTCTGATATTTAAGGAAAAGAAAAATAGTTGATTGAAGTTGAATTTGTTAGGAAGTGGATGTGAAATACACCATGTAGCGTTACTTGCTTTTCTTTAGTAAGACTTTTTTTTTAAGTAAAAAAGATCACAATCTTTGTTTTACGGCTTTTCATAGAAACTGAAGCTCAGAAAGCAATGTTTTACTCTTGCTATTTGCCAACAAGGCAGATAGAACGTGGTCTTTGGACTCTGCTTGCTCTGTCAATACACTAATCTCCTGCGACTCCCTCCTTCCAAACTGCCTTCAGCCTCAGTGCACAGCCTCCTCTGCCTGGGCAGTCAGAGCCCAGAGAACAGGGTGTGAGTTCATTCAGGGGCTGGTGGGACAGAGGTGGGACAGAGCCTGATTAGACGACGTCCTTTAAGGCCCGGTTCCAACTGTGTCACTTATTCAGACTCAGGGTGTATGAGCTGCAGACACAGCAGTCAGTTGATCGCACTCTGGAAAGAGAGTTCATGGTGTCCCTTTGGTATTAGTCTCGCCTTATTGTTAGGTTAGTATGAAATCTGAGCAGTTTACTTTCACTTCTATATTGGTTTTTATCTGTTTATTCCAAACATTTAAAAGTTATAATTGTTTGCCTAAAGTTGGCAATCTGATGGTAACAAAAAGGGCAAATGATACTCATGTCTTCACTTTTTCTTTTCTAAGGGAAAATGTATGGTTGGTGTGAGCAGCATGCCCGCTCTAATTATGTGTATGTTTGAATGTATGGTTGGTGTGAGCAGCATGCCCGCTCTAATTATGTGTATGTTTGAATGTATGGTTGGTGTGAGCAGCATGCTCGCTCTAATTATGTGTATGTTTGGATGTATGGTTGGTGTGAACAGCATGCCCGCTCTAATTATGTGTATGTTTGAATGCATGGTTGGTGTGAGCAGCATGCCCGCTCTAATTATGTGTATGTTTGAATGCATGGTTGGTGTGAGCAGCATGCCCGCTCTAATTATGTGTATGTTTGAATGTATGGTTGGTGTGAGCAGCATGCCCGCTCTAATTATGTGTATGTTTGAATGCACTTTGCTAGTATTCTGTTTCGTTCCTTGGGGCATCAAGTTTATTCATATTTTTCTGTTACTGAGTAGTCATATTTTCTTAACTGATAAAGTGTTCTGTGCAAACTATATAAAAGACTAATATGTAACTAAGTATTACTGTCTTATTACTAGTTATTTATTGCATAAAGTTTTTATGGTGTCATATGGAAAGCTTATCTTTACTGTTAAAGTCCATCTAAAGTGAATGCCCTAGCAATCCGGATTTGTGCCAATTTTAGGTTTTTATATTCATGTTATAAGTAAATTCTTAGACATTTTGGTAGCATTATACTTTCAGTATTTTATAAAATACCACCTTAATTATCTTTGGTTTTTTGAGGTAGTCTCACTCTGTAGATCAGGCTGGCCTTGAGCTCTCTCTGCCTCCTCAGTGTTGGAATTACAGCTGTGATCCACTATGCCTGGCTCCTTTCTCCCTTTTTAAGATTTATTTTGTTTTATGTGTGTGGGTGTTTTGTCTGCATACATATATGCGTACCACACGTGTTCCCAGGGTGCACAGAGGCCAGAGAGGGCATTGGATCCCTAAGACTGGAGGTAACAGTTGTTGTGAAGGGCCTCGTGCCTAGGAACTGAGCCTGGGTCCTCTTCGAGAGCAGTAAGTGCTCTTAACCACTGGCCCTTCGTCAGTTCCCACCACCATCAGATTTCAGGCTAAAGAGCGTGTTAGTTTATATCCCCTCCTTGATCTTCTTCCTTCACAGTGTTGGCACACGGCCTGATTAGTCTGTGACTCAGTAGAGCCTGGGCATTCTGCTCTGCACGGTTAATAATGTGCTGTGCGGATTCCAAACTCAGCGCTTCTCCCTGCTCACTATCCTGTTCAGTCCCAAAACTGCGGTGGGCCCCCAGTCAGTTGTACTAGTGGAGTGTGGCAGAGGGGGCCGTTTCAGAGGTGGGGTTTACTCTGTGTATTTCAGTCTTTAAATAATACCATGGCAGCTAAAGAGGTAGCTCCGTGTTCAGAGTGCTTACTACTTTCCAGTGGATCAGAATGTGGTTCTCAGCACCCACATCCTGCAGCTTCCGATGGCCTGCACCTCCAGCTCATGGAGTTCCAGTGCCTGCTGGTCTCCAAGAGCAGCACAAACGTAGTAGACAAACATACACAAACACACGAGAACATAAATAAATTTTTTTTTTAGGTTTTTGTTTTGTTTTGTTTTCGAGGCAGGGTTTCTCTGTGTAGCCCTGGCTGTCCTGAAACTCACTCTGTAGACCAGGCTGGCCTCAAACTCACAGAAATCTGCCTGCCTCTGCCTCCTGAGTGCTGAGATTAAAGGCGTGTGCCACCACCACCTGGCCAGTCTTAATTCTTTTTTGGTTTTTTGAGACAGGGTTTCTCTGTGGTTTTGGAGCCTGTCCTGGAACTAGCTCTTGTAGACCAGGCTGGTCTCGAACTCACAGAGATCCGCCTGCCTCTGCCAAGGTGTGCGCCACCACCGCCCGGCTGCCAGTCTTAATTCTTACGTAATATTAAATGTATGTTAAAATGACAAGTGCTGCCATAGGCATTTCATTTATTAGGTCAATATTGAGTCTCTTAGTGATGTGCTGCTCTTAGTGTTTTACAAACGAGAACACTGATGTCAGAGAGGCCCAGAGCTTTGCCCAGTGTCCTCTGGTGAGTTAGTGATTAAGTCACCACTCGCCACACCCAAAGCTATGGGATCCATGCTGCTGCCTGGAGCCAGGACGGGACCGTGAGCTCCAGGCCTGCCTCAGTTATATAGGCTGGATTGTCGCTCAGTGCTGGAGCATGTGGGGGCCCTGAGTTTGATCCCTAGCACTCCAGTAAGAAAGATCTCCTTGCACTGGGGAAATCCTGTCTCTTTTGTCCCCCACTGTAGCATCTCTAGCTTCTGGCATCTTAAGACAACTGGAGCTGCTTTGTTGTGTCCAAGCAAATCGGTCAGGTTGTTTCTCAGTTCTTGGCCACATGAGCAAGGGAGTCCAACTCTGAGCCTCCCTGTGTGTTTTCAGTGTCTGAGTGGAGTGTGGGCTTCCTCATGCATCACAGGCGGAGGACCCCTCGAAGGTTTCTGAGCAGGAATTCCGTGTGACAGCAGTGGTAGGGAAGCTGCTCTGGGAGCGAGGGCATCGCATAGCTAGTGCCGAGGCAGTCAGGCCAGACTGAGTCGAGTGATGCTGGCTTGATTTGACAGAAAATGAGGACGGAGGTTCCTGAGTAGGAAGTAGATGAACTGAAATAGCGAGACGAGGAGACGTTTGTCTTCCTGTGTGGGGATGTATGTGATCAAGATGGTTTTATTTGTACTGTGCAAGCAATTAAGATTCTGTTAAAATTAGAGGACCAGTAAGCGGCAAACGCTTGTCACCCATCACGATGATACATTGCTGGTCCCGCCTCTCTCCCCAATAGCCAAACCATCGCGCATCTTACGAAGCTAATAGAGCAGCACGGCAGCGATGTCTGGTGGACTCTGCCCCCCGAGCAGCTTCTCCCCGAGGAGGTCGTAGCTCAGGTAAACTGCCCTTGGTGAAAATCTGAGCAGCTCTTGGAGCTAAAAGGGATTTTGAGCAATTGCACTGGGAAACTTATGAGTTTCCTTTCCAGAATTAAAGGCAGAGGCAGTTTAGAAGTGAGCGTTGTTACTCGCAGCCAAAGCCTAGTTTGTTAGACAACAGTGGAAGGTGGGGTGCTTGTAACCTCATGGGGCCCCAGTTATCCAGGTTGGGTGACTAAGCAGACGATACCACCAGAGAAGTCGTATGTGCTGGCACAGTAGGACTGTGTGAGCTCTGGCGCGGCACGTCCTGATGGTGTCTTCTGCCGGAGCACACTGGGATAGCTACACCAGTAGTGAGGTCACCATGTGGCATTCACTTTTCATGGTGCAGCAGGGTTGTATTAACTGTGAAGTGCATTTTAATGTTTATTTTAAGAATATGAATTTAGTGGCTGTATTTTACTTTCTTAAAATATGGAGCATTTTTTGTGAAGGTGTGGCCTCTGTAGGTCAAGTCTCTACTGCTGTCTCCATAGGCTGGTGGTCCTGATGCTTTGGAATATGTGCCGGGGCAGGACATTTTGGACATCTGGTTTGACAGTGGAACTTCCTGGTCTTGTGTTCTTCCAGGTAATTTTTTGTTACTTTTCCTTATGTGTATAGGCATGTGACTGTATGTGCACGTGTGACACGTGTGCATGCGACTGTATGTGTGCACGCATGTTGGTATGCGATGAGAGTGCAAGCCCCATGGCAGGCACCGAATCCCCTGGGGCTCGAGTTCCAGGCAGTTCTTAGCCACCCAGTGTGGGTGCTGGGAACTGAACTCTGGCCTCTGGAAAAGCAGCAAGAGCTCTGCCCACTGAGTCATCCCGCTAGCTCCTCTTCCGTGTAATTTCTGAAGTTAGAGTAACCCACTGAGTCATCCCGCTAGCTCCTCTTCCGTGTAATTTCTGAAGTTAGAGTAACTCACTGAGTCATCCCGCTAGCTCCTCTTCCGTGTAATTTCTGAAGTTAGAGTAAAAGCAGGTTAAGTTTTGAAGGCTGACAAGATGACTCAGCAGGTAGCCCGGTTACCCCAGCTTGATTCCTGGACCCCACACAGAGATAGAAGAGCACTGTCTCTGAGCTGTCCTCTGAGGTCACACATACACCGTGCAGCACAGTGAGACACCTGCACAACAGTAATAATACAGCTTTGAAAATACAGAAATATTACTTAGCTCTTTGACCACAAATATGTGGGTCATTGTTTGTTTTTTCTTTACTTCGGAGAGTCTGCGATGTAGTCATATTATATAGCTGTGAAGAAACATGACCAAGGCAACTCTTAGGAAAGAAAGCTTTTAATTAGGGGCTTCTTACAGTTTTGTCAGTTTAGTCCATTATCATCATGACAGGAAGCATGGCAGCATGCAGGCAGATGTTTGAACAGTAGCTGAGACTTCTACATCCTGATCCATGAGCTAAGAGAGACCCTGTGCCTGACATGGGCTTTTGAACCCTCAAAGCCCACCCCAGTGATACCTTCTTCCAACAAGGCCTTAATCCTTCTAATCCTTTCAAAGAGTTTCACTCCCTGGTGACTAAGCATTCAGATATATGACCCTGTGGGGGACATTCTCATCCAAATTCTATAGTCTGCAGCAGTCCAGATCTGAGAAGGCCTGGGATATCTTTAGTCTAGTGATCTCCCAATATGCTCATTTTTTTCCAAGGTGTTTAGAACTATACTGCTTAAGTTTAGAATGGTACTTTAGCCATTTTGGTGGTCTATGCCTATAATCCCAGTGCTTAGGAGGCTGAGGTAGGAGGATCATGAATTTGAAGTCAGCCTAAACTACATAGATACCCTATCTCCAAAAATCCACAAAAACAAAAACAAAAAAAATTTGTTTTTGCTTTATCCCCCTTCTTCACCAGGAGTTTCTTTGGCCTACTTGGCTGTCACAAAGCACCCAGTTTGGAAACCATTGGCATAACATGACCCCATCATTTCTCACAGGAGATCAAGTTAGTCAGGACACAGAGGTCATGTAGTTAATAATGTCAGAGTGCACATGTGGTCTCTGCGTCCAGCTCCATTCCCGCCCTATGTGAACCTTCCTAAGTGGCCCAACTCTACAGACAGTTCATACTTTTAGTTAGGTGAGCTTTTGACTCACTGGCTGAAGGAAAAGTGGGGAGCATGGTTAAGAATTGGAAGGCAGCGGAGGAGGCAGCTTTATGCAGATGTGTTAGGAGGAGGCAGCTGTGTGCAGATGTTAGGAGGAGGCAGCAGGAGGAGGCAGCTGTGTACAGATGTGTTAGGAGGAGGCAGCTGTGTGCAGATGTGTTAGGAGGAGGCAGCTGTGTTAGGAGGAGGCAGCTGTGTGCAGATGTTAGGAGAAGGCAGCAGGAGGAGGCAGCTGTATATAGATGTCTGTTCTAATGAAATTCCTTTTGGTGTGTTACTACATTTCAGGCACTGAGCAGAGGGCAGACTTGTACCTGGAGGGAAAGGATCAACTCGGGGGCTGGTTCCAGTCTTCCTTACTAATAAGCGCAGCCACAAGGGCTAAAGCACCTTTCAAGTAAGTGCTCACCCTGTGCAGAAGGAATCTCCCTGGTGAGCCTTTGAGTGCCCACCGGGTGTGCCACACAGGCTGGAGTCATAGATGCACAGCCATTGGCAAGCTGGAGCGCTGCTCTTCCTGCCTCTGGGTTGGGTGGTCCCCGAGTCAGTGCTGTCCAGAAGAGGGATGCAGCAAGGCTGAATGACGCTAGGTCCATCTGTTGTGTGAGGCACAGGCTGTAAGCAAGTTCCACGGTTCCTCTGTTGTGTGAGGCTCAGGCTGTACGCAAGTTCCACGGTTCCTCTTGGTTTTTTTTGTTTGTTTGTTTTTGGTTGTTTTTTTGAGACAAGGTTTTTTTTGTAGCTTTGGTGCCTGTCTTAGAACTAGCTCTTATAGACCAGTCTGGATTCAAACTCACAGATATTCACCTGCCTCTGCCTCCCGAGTGCTGGGATTAAAGGTGTGTGCCGCCACCACGTGGCCCATTATTCCGTCTTGTATAGTCACGGTGGCGTTAATCCAAGCATTCTGGAGGCAGAGATAGGAGGATCTTAAGATCAAGGTCAGCCTGGGCTACGTGCAGACCCTGCCCCAGAAAGAACAACAGAAAGCAAACAACCAACACAAGGAAGAAATAAAAAGGGGAGAGACACAGCAGGGTGAGGTATCTGTCACTCTGGAGCAGGTGGCACCTCCTGCAAGATAAGATGGCGTGGAGTGGAGTAACCGGGCAAATGGTAGAGCAGCATCTTCCGTGGCAGGGAGATCCCCAAGAGTGCAGGGAAGGACAGGGTGGGCTGGTGACAGTAGCCTGAGCTCAACTCCTGCTGTGGGACCCACAGTGACTAAGGACTGAGGCCCCTCTGGGGTGGAGTGCAGTGCTCACCCCCCTGCCACACACAGCAGAGTTCCCTGGGGAGGACCGGTGACAGTAGCCTAGGGGTTGCCCTGCAGTGCTCACCCCCCTGCCACACACAGCAGAGTTCCCTGGGGAGGACCGGTGACAGTAGCCTAGGGGTTGCCCTGCAGTGCTCACCCCCCTGCCACACACAGCAGAGTTCCCTGGGGAGGACCGGTGACCCCTGCACTGCTCATAGCCCACCCTCAGGTAGCTCACTGACTGCTTCTATGTCGCTCTTAAAAACCAGAGGAGGGTCAGGCAGTGGTGCACACGCCTTTAATCCCAGCACGCTGGAATCAGAGGCAAGCAGATCTCTGAGTTCAAGACCAGCCTGGTCTACAAGAGCTAGTTACAGGACAGGCGCCAAAGCTACAAAGAAACTGTCTCGATAAATTAAAAACAAAACAAAAGATAAAAACAAACAAACCAGAGGACTAAGCACTGTTTTTCTTAGGTTGTCTTTCTGAAGTAGTTTTAAGGAGGTGCCCTGCACTGCTCTCTGTATGTCAAGGACCTGGAAGTGCTCTGATGCACAGAAAATAGAACACCCATTTTGCTGTGTTTAAGTGGAGGACTCCCTGCTTAACATCCCTGATACACAAATGCTGAGAAACAGCCTCACCCACAGTCTTCCAAGACGTACCAAGTGATTAAAATGACCCTCACACTGAACTCGCTGTCTTCCTTAGAACGGTGATGGTTCACGGGTTTACACTCGGAGAAAAAGGAGAAAAGATGTCCAAGTCCCTCGGAAATGTCATTAATCCTGACACTGTCATCAATGGAGGAAAAGTAGGTGTCTGACTGAAACTTATTTTCATTTTCTTATCAGGCTCTTACGTTAGCAATCCAATCTTTAACGGTTACCTCAGTGTGAACAGACACAACTGTGACTGCTAGGGACAGGATGTGCCAGGGATGGTGGTGGCACAGCTACTCGGGAGGTAGAGACATGAGGGTTCCATGAACCCAGGAATTCAGGGCAAATCTGAGCCAAGAATAGCAAATGGTTTACTATAATGTTTTAAACTTAAACTTGTGTGTGCACATGTGTTTAGGCCTTAAGGTGTCAGATTTTATTATGTGAAGTTACAGTTTTATAATGAAGTGGTTACTTGGGAGGAAAAAATGAGATCACAAATTCTGAGCACACATTACTATATATTCTTAGGGTGTGTACATTTTGAAGTGAGGATGGCCATCAGATCTGGGGTTACTGGCCATTTGGGGGCCAGGTTAGAGTTGCTTTCATGAGATCTCCACGGTGTATTGCCTTGCTCCTTTCACACCTTGTGGTCACTGGGTTGCTAGGAGGTAAGGAAGGGGAAAACAGCTCTGCACCCTCCCCACCCCACTCTGGCCATCCTGCAGCTGCAGTATGCCTGACCCAGATGTCCTGGGTGCTGGGACAAACCTGCTGTCCTGCCTGAGTCTCGGACAGGACTGTCTCACTCGCCTTTTCGGATACAGTGGCCTGTGTTTTGGTGCTGATCTTGCACAGCCTGCATTTATAGTCTCCGGAGGAGAGCTCTAGCTAAAGCCTCTGTTTCTCTAATTAGATATTCATATCAATTCATAAACTCTTCTTAAGATCAAAATTACAAAGGAGAAATCTCAGAAGTGCTTGTCAGCTGGCCTAGTCCCTGTCACTGTGGAAAGGCTGTAGTATTCAGATTGCCGCCCATGCGCTGCACTGAAAGCAGGTCCTTGTTTATAGTATCTTAGCCCCTCTGCTCATAGAGGAAGTGTGATTGAGAAGAAGACACTTACATGTATTTTTTCAATGAAAAGGATCAGAACAAAGAGCCTCCTTATGGAGCTGATGCCCTGCGCTGGTGGATAGCTGAATCCAACGTCTTCACTGAAGTGACCATTGGCCCCTCTGCACTCAGTGCTGCTAGAGATGACATCAACAAGGTCAGAGCTTCTCCCTGGAAGTTTATGAGACACGCATGAAAACAAACTACATGTGACCATTTTTAATACCCCGTGTTAATTTGTTTAAAAATAGCAACACGAAGAAATGTCCATGCCTTTAATTCAGACTAATGTGTAGACCAGGTAGCATATAACCATCTGTAAATAATCACATGGTTATTCACGTGTTTCTCTTACTGTCATAGCTTAGAAACACACTCCGCTTTCTCTTGGGAAATGTGACTGGTTTTAACCCAGAGACTGATTCTGTTCCTGTTGAAGATATGTACGTCATAGACCAGTATATGCTGCACTTAATTCAGGATTTTGCAACCAAGGTCAGTATACAATAGGCTTTGGCAAGTAGCAACATCAGCACCTTTTCCGTAACCTTTAGTGGACGGTTAACCTTGCTAGAAGTTATAGCTAGTGCATTCCAGAAAGTACACTGCTGTGTTCCACACAGCTCGAAGTGACTGTGATGAAACTTTTCATGTCTTTGCTGAATTATCGCTTTGTATTTCTGTGTTTTTACATTAGTGTGTGCGCACCAGAATCCATGTGTGGAGGTCAGTGAACAACTTGTGGGAGTTGGTTCTCTCCTTCCACCCTGTGGGTCCCAGAGATTAGCTTAGGCTGTCAGCCTTGTAGCAGGCACCTTGCCTGTTGAGCTGTCTCATTGTCCCTACCCTAGCTTCTTTAGACTGCAAGAGTACCTGGTCACAGGCCCAAGCTTCCCTCACACCAGACTTCCAGACTTTCCTCTTAAAGATCATCTCCTGTCAGACAAGAGGAGAGATTAACATTGTGTCTATAGTCAGGAATAGGAGAGATTAACAGTGACATTGTATCTACAGTCAGGAATAGGAGAGATTAACAGTGACATTTTATCTACGGTCAGGAAAAGAGAGATTAACAGTGACATTGTATCTACAGTCAGGAATAAGAGAGATTAAGAGTGACATTGTATCTATAGTCAGGAATAAGAGAGATCAATGGTGACATTGTATCTGCAGTCAGGAATAGAGAGATTAATGCTGGTTCTCCATTTATTTCTCCTTTTCTTCTTTTCATTTAGCCCAGGGCCCCTGTCTGAGACCTTGCCCCTCATGATCATGGTGGGTGTTCCCTCTTCAGTTAAATATCTCTGGAAACACTATCATGGACACGATAGATGTTGACCTGCTTGCTGTTTTTAAATCTTGCCCAGTTGACAGTCAAGGTGAACCATCACATGGATGAGCCATGGTCTCTTTTCCCAAAATTGGCCATGTCTGGCTTTGGGGTGCCACATGTCGTAAACATACATGCCGATTTTCACTCAATGAGGGAACATTAATGAGTTCCTGGCGCTTTCCATTCTTTGCTATTTTAAAAATGATTTGATTTAGGCCAGTGAGATGACTCAGCTGATAAAGCCTGACGACTCAAGTTTGATCATCAGAACTCATGGTATAGAGAACCAACTCCCAAAAGTTTGTCTTCTGATCTCTGTATCATACCTGGTTGCACACACATGTCCACATGCACACCCCATAAGCACAAATACAAGTACTTCAAAAAAAATTTAATCCTCCCTCCCTTTGAGACAGAGTCATGCTGTGTAGCCCTGACTGGCCTGTAACTTGCTATGTAGACCCGACTAGATTCAAACTCAGATCCACCTGCTTCTGCTTTCCTGAGTGCTGGGAATAAATGCATATGCCACTACACTTGACCTTAAAAAAATTAAATAAAAAATTAAAAGCAATGTGATTCTATTACTTGGACTTAGAGGTGGGGGAATAGCTTGTTGGGGGAGAGATTTTCTAGCATACACGAAGTTCTGAAGTCCCTCGTCAGCATTGCATATTTAAAAAGCAAGCAGACCAGGGGCTGGGAAGATAGTCTGATTGGTAAAGAGGTCGCTATACAGGCATGAGGGCCCGAGTTTGATTTCTAGAGCCCAGATCACATTTAAACATCAGGTGCAGCACAAGTTTGTGATTCTGGTGTTGGGACGTTGAAGACAGGTGGAGGAGCAGACCTGAGGTTCAGATCAGGGAGAGACCCTGTTTAAAAAGCAAGGTACATGGTTCCTTGCTCAAGCTTGACCTCTGGCATTCATATCCACATGCACCTACACATGAACATGCATACTTACACACACAAGATAAGCAACTATGCATAAACCCTTCTTTCCGTGTTCTGCTGTCATTTCCAAAGTATAGTAGTGATTATTTTGAGTAGTCATGTCTCTAAAATGACATTCTCTGGCTTTCTTGTATTCTTGCCTGTTTTGGAAACATTTTGTTTTCTTTTTTCATATGTTTGTACGTGTGGTATGCCTGCACATGTGTACGCACTGGCATGTGAGTATGTGTAAGCACAAGCCTGATATTCCACCTCATTCTTTGAGGCAGGTTCTCATAATCAGATCATATCAGTTGGGCAGGTAAGACGGCTCAGCAGGTCAGGGTGCTTCCTGTTAAGCCAGATGACCTGAGCATAGTCCCTGGGACCTACACAGTGGTAAAGAACCAACTGCAGGTTGTCCTCTGACTGCCACGTGTGACCTGTAGCTCATACACACATGACCCGGCCCCCAAATAAATGTAGTAGCAAATTTCTAAAAATAACAAGAAAAGTGAACCAATAATCATATTTAAAATTTCAAGGGAAAGTCTTATAAAAGGAAAAGAAAACCCAGAGCTCACCCCATGCTGGTTTTCAGCCAGTGTGCGTCAGGGTTCCTGCTCAGCTCCACGGTGAGGCTGGTATCACAGGCGTTGCTGGAGGCCCACCGTGCCCGCCCACCGTGCCCACCCAGCACTTCTGTGAGTTCTGGGCACCCATACTCTGTTTCTCACGCCTGTGCAGCAAACGTGGGGGCTGAGCCATTCCCCCTGAGATGCCAGCGAAGAGCTTGCTTCACCTGTGACAATGCTTGTTTTCATTGCTCATCCCAGCTTCCAAATTTACCCTGTCTTTGTTCTCTAGATTACTGACTCATACAAACAGTATGATTTTGGGAAAGTTATCAGGCTGTTGAAAGCTTTCTATACCAGGGAACTCTCCAGCTTCTACTTCAGCATAGTCAAGGACAGGTAAGTGTGATAAGCATGCAGTCCTCAGCAGCATCAAGGATGCAGTGGCCACGGTGGGCAGCTGTAATTACACCCGGGATCTGGGGTCAAGGGTCACTTGTGTCCTGCCACTTTTACTAGCTTCATGGTTGCACTTACAGTGCAATCTCAGTATGTCTAGAAAATGAGAGAGATAATACCTGTCCTTCTACTCCCATCACTCAGGAGGCAGAGGCAGAAGGCTCTCTGAATTCAAGAGCACCCTAGTTGGGCTGGAGAGATGGCTCAGAGGTTAAGAGCATTGCCTGCTCTTCCAAAGGTCCTGAGTTCAATTCCCAGCGACCACATGGAGGCTCACAACCATCTGTAATGGGGTCTGGTGCCCTCTTCTGGCCTGCAGGCATACACACAGACAGAATATTGTATACATAATAAATAAATAAATAGATAAATAAATAAATAAATGTTGAAAAAAAAAAAAAAGACCAGCCTAGTCTACAAAGAGTTCCACACTAGGCCAGCCAGAGTGAGACCTGTATCAAAACCTGCCGCTCATGTGCTTGCTTCCCATTCCAGTGAGTGACAGCTGCTGGTAGGTGAACACCATGTTGTCCTCCAGGGCCGACCCAGGACTAGGCAGCCATTTGTGTAACGACACTGGCTTTCACAGTGCTCCCACAAACAGCTGAAGGATAGGGCTTGGTGACTAGTTTGGCATGAGCTGTCAACCCCAGCCTGTCACAGGGCATCTCAGCAGCTTGGCCATAGGTTTACAACTCATTCTTTGCCTGAAAACCCTAATGGCACCATTGGGGATAGGGGTCATTTAAATGCTGCCAGTTACTTTAGTGATGGTGTGCAAACAGTGCTCTAGACTGTCATCCATCTTAAAGTCAGAGTTGGACAAAGCATGAGGAAACAGGTACATCTTTTTTTTTCCTTTGGTTTTTTTGAGACAGGGTTTCTCTGTAGCTTTGAAACCTGTCCTGGAACTTGCTCTATAACCCAGGCTGGCCTCAAACTCAGAGATCCGCCTGCCCCTGCCTCTCTAGTGCTGGGATTAAAGGCGTGCGCCACCAGCACCGCCACCAGCACCGGTGAAACAGGTACATCTTCAGAGAGTAAAATGGGATAGAGAAGAAGCGTCCAGAAGCAGCGTGAAGTAGTTGTAGTGTCAGCCTGTGTGCCCAGGCCAGGCAGCATGTGTGTCCGCTGCTGAGGAGGCTGTTCTTCCAGGCTCTACTGTGAAAGCCAGAAGGATCCTAAACGACGCTCCTGTCAAACCGCACTAGCAGAAATTCTGGATGTGTTGGTCCGTTCTTTTGCCCCAATTCTTCCTCACTTGGCAGAGGAGGTGTTCCAGCACATCCCCTATGTCAAAGGTAAGGACAGCTGCTTCTTGCATGGGAAGGGACGGGGCAGGGATTGGCCTGCAGTGTACCTACAGTGTCATTGTGATGAGATTCATTGGTCCTTCAGTCTGCTCTGTGCCTTCCTGCAGGAGTCAGGGCTGCCTCTCTGCTTTCTGAGATGTATTAAACACTTGACAATATTGAGAAATCACTTTTGATTAAATATGTTTATAATGTTCCAAAGTGTATTTGTAACTTTTTGTTTGTTTTTGAGACAATGTTTCTCTGTATAGTTCTGCTTGTCCTGGAACTCACTTTGTGGACCAGGCTGGTCTTGATATCAGAGATCTACCTGCCTCTGACTCCTAAGTACAGGGATTAAAGGTGTGAGCCACCTCTGCCCAGCTGTATTTTAAGCTGTATTCAAGCAAAATACAATGCTTTTTAGAGAATACTTGTATGTTAGGTGTAGAAGGAATAGCGGGCTGTGTTCCTGCCGCCCAGCTCCCGGCCACCTGGCTAGCTTTACACCCAAAATAACAACACACAAATTGTATTCTTTTAAACACTGCCTGGCCCATTATCTCTAGCCTCTTACTGGCTAACTCTCACATCTTGATTAACCCATTTCTAATAATCTGTGTAGCACCACGAGGTGGTGGCTTACTGGGAAGGATTCAGCATGTCTGACCTGGCAGCTGGCTCCATGGCATCTGACCCAGAGAGGAGAGGCATGGCGATTGCCTCACTTCCCTCTTCCTCCCAGCATTCTGTTCTGTTTACTCCATCCACCTAAGGGCTGGCCTATCAAATGGCCAAGACAGTTTTTTATTAACCAATGAAATCAACACAAAACAGAAGACCCTCCCACATCAGTTAGGTTTTTTTTCCCTCCTGGTTTTATTCACATAGAAAGCTAGAACTTATGGGGATGTTGGGTGGAGTCATGAGGAACAAGTGTTCTTACTTCTGCTTTGAGACTTTTATGTTTATGTATTTATAATGTGTATACCTCTTACTTGTGGATCTTGAGAACAGCACACTTGTTCACTGAACTTCACATCCTGTGTAACAACCCTGTCTCTCATGAGTGAAATCTCCATTGGTCAAAGCTTATATGCTGTCTAGACTATTTATACCTCGGTTCACTTTCCTTTTTTTTCTTTTCTAGAACCTAAGAGTGTTTTTCGCACTGGCTGGATTAACACAAGCTCTATCTGGAAGAAGCCAGGACTGGAGGAGGCAGTGGAGAGTGCGTGTGCCATGCGAGATTCCTTTCTGGGCAGCATCCCTGGCAAAAATGCTGCCGAGTATGAGGTTATCATCGTGATTGAGCCTGGGTTACTGTTTGAGATCATGGAGGTATGAGTAACAGATGGAGTTGTGTGAAATACGCCCTTCTGAAATGGTGGGAGCATTGAAGCTTTACCTGAAATCTTTTTCTCAAATGTCTAAGACCTTGTATTAATCTAGAAACTTGGATTTCAGTCTTGCAACACTGAACCGTTCCTTGCTTTGAACTTGGGACACATGCAGGGGTGATTTAGGTCAGTGCCAGACATGCTTGGCAGAAGTGTCAGGTTACATGAAAACCAGGAGTTTTACACTAAAGGCCTGGGCTTTTGAAAATTTTGTTTATTTGGGTCATGTTCCAAAAATGAGTTCTTGATGGACAGTGTTGTTGCACGCCTTTAATCCCAGCACTCCGGAGGCAGAGGCAGGCAGATCTTTGTGAGTTCAAGGCCAGCCTGGTTTATAGAGTGACTTCCAGGACAGCCAGGGCTGTCTCAAAAAACAAAATGAACCAAAACTGAGTTCTCTTTAATTTCATGAAAACCAGGGACAGCAGATCACATTTCTCCAGACTTCTATCGTGTTTTAATTTCCGCAGGTCCCATCAGAGTGTTCTCCTTGGGCCTCTCAGGGACTAATTGGTTAGGTGTAATGCACTGTCCTGAGCTTTGTAACTAATTCAAATTCTTAAGAAAACGACTGTCAGTGAATAGTTTTTTTTTTTTTTTTTTTTTAGTTTTATTAGTATCAGTCTGGAGCTGGAAAGGTGACTCAGCAGTTAAAAGCATTGCTAATCTAGTGGGGGCCTGAGTTCAGTTCCCAGCATCCACCTAGTGGCCCACATTTACATTTCAATAAAGTTTCAGGGGATCCAACACCCTCTTTTGGCCCTAGGTCTGCATGTATTACATACACACAGCAACACTCATGCACATAAAATACCTTAAGTCTCTACAAATAAAAAGGAACCATCTTATTTTGGTTGATAAACTCAATTTAAACATTTGAAGAATTGAGAGTTGAAGTCATTACAATTTATGACATTGTAGGCAATGGTAAGACTAGATGATGGCCATTGTGGTATGCTGCACAGCATATTTCTGGTTTGCTGTCATTCTGACAGCCACCCCACCTCCCCATCCCTGCATACACACACGCTCATCATCCTGACAGCCACCCCACCTCCCCACCCTGCATACACACACGCTCATCATCCTGACAGCCACCCCACCTCTCCCTGCATACACATATGCTCATCATCCTGACAGCCACCCCACCTCCCCACCCCTGCATACATGCATGCTCATGTGCCAAATTATCTGAGTCTCATGTTTCCATTTTTAAAGGAATATCTAAATTAATTCACAAACTCATCTTGAAGATCAAAATTACAAAAGAAAAAAAAATATTGAAAGTGCTTATCAGCAGGCCTTGTCACTGTGGAAAGGCTGTAGTATTCAGATAGCCGCCATGTGCTGCACTGAAAGCAGGTCCTTATTATTTACAGTATCTTAGTCCCTCCTAGTAGAGGAACGAGGCTCTTAAAAAGATGGCAGAATTTTGAGTAACTTAATCTCTTACTCATTGCAAACTAAATCTAATAAACAGTATATAGATCTGGATTTGAGGGGAGCCATAGTTTTCAAAGTGAAGCAAAGTGTATCCTCCAGTAAAACACTAAAGCTGATGGTGAGATGTGAATTGAACAGTGGTTTCATGTGCATTCCAGTTGCTCCAAGCTGAGGAGACCTCAAGCACGTCTCAGCTGAATGAACTAATGATGGCCTCCCAGACAACACTGCTGGCTCAGGAGCCGCGGGAGAGAGCTGCGGATGGGATTGAGCTCACAGGGACATTCCTCATCAATCTAGAGGGTGAGAGCAGTGAGCACGGACTGAAGCTGTCCGTGGCGCTGGCTTACTGTAATGACAGTCTGAGGCAGCTCTCGGGGCTCCAGGAATTGAAGTCAAGCCCCTAGTGAGAGTTCCTCCTCAACCACTGAGTCACCATGAGTCTTTTTCTTTCTTGTGTTGTCCTCTGATTTATAGTGCCTAAAACTGTCCAGATCCACTACCCTTCCTATGTAGATTCTAAAATTTCCTTTTATGAATATCCAGAATTAAAACACTGCTAGCCACTCTTACAGAGGGTTTGGTAAGATTTACTGGAGTGTCTATCACAGGACTCTGCACTGTCTACAGAGCTCTTCACCTCGACTCCTCCTCATTGACTGGAATGGTGCATGGAGAGAGCGGTTTCTTCTGCGTACCTGAAGTTCTAGTGGCATTGCCAGTCTCTATAACATGGCATTTTAACAGCTTTAGTTCCAGTACTGAGGAGGCCTCACTCTGTGAGGGCAAGGCTACATATATATATATATATATATATATATATATATATATATATATATGCACGAAAGAAAATCGGAATCAGCTGTGTATCTAGGTCAAGAACAGGGCCAGCTCTAAGCAATGCAGGACTCTGAGTTGGTTGAGAAGCAGTTGGTCTGTCATCTGTTCTTCGATCCTGTGTTATTGATAATTAATGTTATGGGGCCATGCTAGAAAGGAGGGAGGAAGAAAGCCTTGCGCTGGACCGCGGAGGAATGACAGTGCAAGCTGAATCTGTGCTTAATGAGATGCTCTGTATATCTTTTCAAGGTGGTGACATTCGTGAGGAGTCTTCGTATAAAGTCATTGTCGTACCAACTGCCAAAGAAAAGTGCCCTCGATGTTGGAAGCACACCGCCGAGACTGCAGATACTCTCTGTCCTCGGTGTGCAGAGGTCATTGGTGCAAAATAACATTCTGATGTTAACAGCTCCCTGAGCAAGAACCTTCCTCAGTGCTGATTAGAACCCTAGAAAGAAATCCAAGGTTTAGGTAAGGACTGGAAGAGTAAATGGTAAAAGAGAAAGATAGGGGTAAAAGAATATTAAAGAGTATTTCCTGTAACTAAAAGATTTATATATATGCACATACACACAAACATACATGGAAATAGATATATGAAGACATACATGTATACAGAGCAGACAGACACACACTGACACTCATGATGGACTTCTTCAGAGTCAGGCACTGAATATGGTTACTTTCAGTGTGGCCAAACAGAAATGTTTTATATTTTATTGAAACTTTTTTGACTCAGTATTTAAGTTCTATAATGTCTGAAAATAAAGGCATTCTGAGAAACTCCCAACTGGCGGTGGTGTAGAAGTTACGGATTATGAAGAGCGTGTAACTTTGCAGGGGAGTGGAAGAGTCGTGTGCCCACATAAGGTGAAGGGGTCAGTTCATTCTGCACATTAGCAAACATCAAGTTTCTAAGGCAGCAGGATTTTGGAACGTACTGCGAAGATCATCATCAAACTTATTCAAAAGGGGAAAAATCTTTGTCTTACATGTATGAATGTCGAGGAAAGAACATAAAAGCTGAACATTTATTTCACTAATATACATGTTCACAATAATGAATAGACACAGAAAATAATGGTATGTACAGAATTCACTACTTACAATACATTGACAGTAGACAAATTATAGAGCATTTTGTGAGCAATCCAATACTGGATTGATCGTTCAAGGATGGCTAATCTAAGCAGAATCTAGCTGCCTCGTAAACCCATCCCTGTGAGGTGAGAGGGCTTTCACTATTGCTGTAGTGCACTGTAAGAATACTTGTTTCTTCATGAAATGGACCATAGTAACTTCTAAGTGAATGCTGTAATCAATGTAAGTTTATTGTTACTAAGTCTTAGTTAGCTATGATTTTAAATCATAAGTAATCATTTAAAAAAGCTATTTAAATGCAGCAGGCTTCACACTATAGATGACCTCTTTGTGTGTCTTGGCTAAAGTGGGAAGTATGGGAAGCCTGGTGCTATGTAACGTACTGCTGTATCTACATCATCCCGGCCCCTCCACATCTATGTAACGTAGTGCTGTATCTACATCATCCCGGCCCCTCCACATCTATGTAACGTACTGCTGTATCTACATCATCCCGGCCCCTCCACGTCTATGTAACATACTGCTGTATCTACATCATCCCGGCCCCTCCACGTCTACATTTAAACACAGCCTGGGTAGAGAAGTTAGGATTGTCTGAACACTTTCATTAGCAGGGTAAAAAAGTGTGTAACTGTAAGGGAGAGAAGGGGGTATCTAGGGAAATACTACTGGTTAAGGGCATACGCCATGCCCTTGTTGGAGGGACACCAGCCCCGTTAGAACCCAATTCCTTTATTTGTGGCACTTTGTTGTTAGAGAATGGATACATAAATGTTAATTTTTCTTTATCAGATTTATTTTAAAAGCCCTTAGTAAAGTAGAATATTTTACTGCCCTTATTAAACTCAGGATTTAGTTTTTAAATTCTATGTGTATTACATTTTTTGGTGACAAATCTAACTTAATTTGTGTTCTAATTCTCTTATGTGATCTACCAGAGTATATTTAGCCAATTTTATCCTCAAAAAATACAAGCTATCCCCCACCCAAAACAAGTAATGGGGTTAGAGTAAAAGGACCATTAGCAGTGTCCACTCTCTCCAGAGTACTCAGGGCCCGAGGAGAACGGGCCTCCTAGGACTCTGGAAAGGGCGGTATCATGTCAGTCAAGCTGTGCTCACTGAGATTGCAGCACGCAGCTCCTCACAGCCACCTGGGCAACACCGAAACATTTCTCTTAGTGAAATCCAACAGCTTTAGTTTTAGCCAGCCACGATCTTAGATCTGACTTTTTAATGGAAAAGAATTCACATTTGTGTATGTTCAGGTTCAGATTTTTGCTGGGTGTCCCTGAAGGACATTCTCAACCTTTACAATGGTGGAGTTGCCTTCTTCCCTCCACTGGAATGATTACTGTGACAGCTGTGACCATGGCAGTCACCACAGTTGCACTGTATGGCTACATTCCAGAGATAGTCTCACCGCAGTAAGTACTTGCTGGTCTGCAGAGCCAAGCACTGGCCAGCCCGGGGTAGGTGGGTTTGACTCACACATCTGTTTAGCGCTTGGCCTGCTCTAGGCACTGCAGGCTACAGAACTGGCTGCAGTTTGTCCTCTCGGCCCAGTTGTGAGGTAGGTTTGCTAAGGCTGTCACAGCACGAAGCACGTTCTCTGTCCTTCTCCTAGGACAGGCAACATGAACACGTCACAGAAACGGACATTTTGAACACTTGGAAGAAAAATAAAGTTGGACTTTAAATATTTTAGAATCTTTGCTTTGTTCTTTTGTTTTTACATAGTCTTACAAGATAATACATTTTTTACAACTACCTGATGTGGATACAATTTTGAAACTTGACAAAATAAAAAGTAAATCTTGATTTACATTGTAGTTGATTTTGATGCACTGTTCACATCTCTGATTCCCAATTCTGGCAAGTACAGCAGGCCCGGGGTCCTTCTCCAGGTCGCTTCTGGGATCTCAAAGCCATTCCTCCTCTGATGGCAGCAGCACCCAGAGCTCCCTGCCATGACATCCTGGTGCGGGCCAAACATAAGGACATCTCTGCATGTTCTAAAGGGCTGTGGCTGAGTCTCTGGCATGCTGATGGAAGCTGCATGGACACTTCATCCCACAGGAGACATCTGGATATGAACTGGAATACTACAGTAAGAATGAAATCTGCAAATTATAATCAGTCACAATACAAAGTTTAACAATAAAGCTACTTATTTGAATGAAAAAATAACAGTAAAGCATTTGTATTCATTATAGCCCAGTTAATGTATTTTATCTTCAGTCTCGACTGAAGAAAGGGAATTTAGCCAGGATTGCACGTTTTAAAAGTAATATATTTATTTATTATACAAAAAAAAAAAAACCTCCAAAAAGTTCCAGATCTCGCTGTGTAAAGTGACATGCAGTGATTGGTGTGGTCGCGGGACTTTGGACTGCTGTCATAGAGTAGCCATGGCTTCCACAGCTTCGATGAGGTGTAAGGCGAGGCTGTACTGCCCGTGCTTCTCCGGCAGGAGCTCCATTACTTTGTGCACTAGTTTAGCTGTTGTGGCGATTGGCACATCAGTGTTCTGAAGATCCTGGGTGTTCTGCGAACGGGACACAAAACTCCTTTAGTTTCATGCTGCCAACAAACAATTGTGACTGCCTTAAGCCTGCTTATGAAAGTTCTCCCACTAAAGGCATTTCTTGCTGTGAGTTCACTGAAGGAAGGTCACCCATGAGGCCTTCTGCTTCTGCCCTGCACTCACCATTGCCTTCAGCCAGGTGCAGAGTGTGGGTGGGAGTCTGGCCAGCAGCTCCATGCCTTCTTTTGTCTGGGTGTGGAAAAGTGCATGCGCCAGCCTCTGCCCTGTCAACACGAGCAGCTGAGATGCCAGAACTTCTTTGTCATGAACTTGCAGAATGGCCTGAGGATGATCAGGAGAGAAATAATCCCTGGAGGCTGTCAGTGGAGAGCTGTTTCAGCTCTCAGAATGACCATGTGCAATCTTTGCTCTTCAGCTATTTTTTTGTTTGTTACCTAAGTTTTCAATTCAGCATGACAGTATCTTATCTTCAAGTGAAAGGGATCATCCTAGCCTCACCCTCGTTACTCTTGCTGGCGAGTGGATGCCTACCACCACCCTTACTCACTGCTGACAAGGCCTGGCAGACACACTGGCTTTTTAGCCTTGGACTTTGCCAAGCTGGTTCCCATCTCAGGACCTTTGCACTCTGCTCTTCCATCTGAGGCACTGTTCCCTCAGCTCTTTGAGTGGCTAGTTGCCTCCTCCCCTTGAGAGGTCAGTTCAGCTATCACTTTCTTCCATCCACTGAGGCTCCTATTAGCCATGGCTCTGCTCACTTTTTGTCGCTTGGTACAGAATTGTTCAGGCTTTTCTGCTCCTCCAGTTCCACAAGTAGCCTTACTCTTATATGAACCTGGTACCAGGCACAAGTCTGGCTACAGCTTTCTATTCTTTTGTTGTTTACTCTGAGACTGGGTCTCGTTCAGCCCAAGCTGGCCTACGTAGATAGGATGACCTTAATATTGTTATCCTGCCTCCACATCCCAAATGCATGCACCACTATATCCAACTCTTAACATTCGTTTACTGCTTCCTTCAGCTGTCTGTTTTATAGCCCGAGCCCCAAGAATGACATCACAGGTCACTCTTACCTCCTCTCCTAAGAGGTCAGCTCCATAGTTGTACAGCTCTCCCACATAATGCCTTCGAATGACATCTTCGCTCACTTGAAGGTGATGAGCTAAGTCCACAGCCAGAACTGGCCAGTTGTGGTCTTTCCAATGCGTGGTTGCTGCCTCTTCGGAGGGCTCTTTGTCCTTGGTAACAGAATGCTGGGCCTGGACAGCTGCACTGACAACTTTCAGTAAGAACTTGAAGACAGGAAGCACAGCACTGCCTTGTCAGTACTTTTCATTTACAGCAACCCAGTGCCTGCTGTATAACCCGGTCGCCCGAGTGCAAGCCCAAGAGTTCATGTGAAGTGGAAGAAGTGACTGCACAGAGCTGCTGTCCTCCCCATACTCAGTGCTATGGAGTATGCCAGGCCGCGCCCCCCCCCACCCATACACACAACTTTGTGTCAACCAGAGATACTCCATTAAAATTAATTTTTTAAAAAATTTATTTGGTTTTTTGAGACAGGGTTTCTCTGTATGTCCTTGGCTCTCCTGGAGCTCATTCTATAGACTAGACTGGCCTCAAACTCAGAGATCTGCCAGCCTCTGCCTCCCAAGTGCTAGGATTAAAGGTGTGCACTACCACCACCACCACCACCACCACATGGCCTTTTAATTTTTAAAGTTTGTGTGTGTGTGTGTGTGTGTTTATGTACATGCAACATGAGTGTGCACACCACAGCAACAATGTGGAGGCGTCAACTCTGCCACGAGGGTCCTGGAGGTCCAACTAAGGTCACTAAGTGCTTTTGCCTGCCGGGCCATCCCACTGACTCTAAAGTTGCTTTGATAGCAGTAAAGGAACATATATTAAGGAAACTAGCTCTTGGTGTTTTTATAAAAGACAGTTCTGTTATCTCCTCTAAGTAAGAACTGAATCCAGTATTTGACTTACCTGTTGTCTTACAGAAATGAAATTTGGATCCATTTCTCCACTAGGTAATAACTGAATTGAAGTTAAGTCTTTGAAAAATGCATTCTTTCCCTAAAAAGGGAAAGATCAAAAAACAAGAACAAAAAACACCTGGTGATTACGGACTAGTAGAGAACATTAGGGAGAGATGTGAGAAAGCACTTTAGCACGAGTAATTCATGGTTGATCTTCATGGTGTTCTCCTTATCTAACTTGGTACCTAGTGCTAGCACCTGAGCTGCGGCAGCCTTTAAGGCCACTCCACTCATCTAGCACTCCTTCCCTGGACTGTGGCCTGCTGACCGCCAGCAAACATGATTAGACAGGTGGCAGCCAGTCATATTCCAGACTGGGCTCCAAACAACTGTTGCTTCTGCCTTGGTGTGCCGTTCACTCCCCGAGAGGTCCCAGTGGTCAAGTGAGTTCATCCCACAGACACAGCTACATCATACTCCCCAGTCTAGTTGACCCTTTAGCTGAGACCTCCACGAAGCAACCTCAGTAGTATGTACTAGTGCACAAAGGGTGGCATTAATTACTCAAGCCAAGGAACTCAAGGGAAAGCAAACTGAAGTCTCGACAACAAGGAGTGAGGGCCTCCAGATGAGTTCTAGGGCACTGAACAGGAGCACACTCATCAGATGTATGAGTGAGTCTGGGTGTATCTAGAGAGAATATGCAGAATGAGAAGGAAGTCAGGAGTAAATCAGAAGAATGGAACTAGGTAGGGGATAAGGAGCTGGGACTCAGTGGATCATATCCCACAAACCACTGAAGAACTGAAGATATACCATTCAGTAAGAACCCCATGTACCTGTTAGCCAACAACTCTGAAACCCTCTGGGGACTCACCTTGCTATCAAAAAGAGCGAGAGGCTTCACACTCTTGAGAGAAAAGCGCATGGCTGCATACAGGATGGAGCACAGGATGGAATGATGCTCCACCAGTGGGTAGTGGATAGGCTTCTGCTCGAGCGCCAGTTCCACTATAGAGATGGGGCCCTCCACGGACAGCCAGGCATCCTCAGTGTCCAGGACTGGCATCTGCATTTCATCCCTGCTAATGTCAGCCTGTGGAAGTTGAGAATAGAAGACTGTGTCAGGAGTTGGAGAACAGGAACTACAAATGGCAATATCCCTAAGTGCAAACTCAGCTTGTATTCCCTATTTATAACAGAAACCACAAAAATACAATTCAGAGAGAGGGGGAAAGGGAGGGGAAGAGAGAGGAAGAGAAAGAATATCACTTTTGAGGCTAAAGTCAAAATATACACTAATAATGTTGTACAATAAATATGGTAAAAAAG